AAAGGACTAAAGACAGAAGTCCGACAAAAGTTTCCAGATTGCCGAAGGGCAAGGATGGACTACGACTACCCCGCGTACAGCGACGTACAGAAAAAGTGAGTGTGCACGTAGAGTGGAGTGAGTCCATGCCAAATGTGTGTGGAAAGCAAATTCGCAAATCTGCTATAGGACATCTGAAGATTGAGGATGAAGACCAAGAGAAGGAAAAGAAAGATGTTCAAAAGTGCTCAAAGAAGCGTGCGAGAAGTGAAGATAAGGCTCACAGGAGCATGCGAAAACAGAAGCAGAAGTAGTACAAAGGTTAGGAAAAGTCTCACAAGATCACGTGACACGACAAAGCTGTGTACGTGATGAGGGCGTAACAGAATGTTCAATTTTCCCTCATGCCCGATTTAGCGCCAGTTTCACTGCGTATCTCCGTAGGTCAAACGTAGGCTCAAGACAGCCTGACAGCAGAGCGAGTAGTGAGAAAAGAATCCGAAGCTCGCGCCGTGCTGTAAGAAGGATACTGGTTTAAGGGTTTAAACTTTCACATGGCCACTGAAGAGAAGATCAATGAGATCGAAGAAGCCTTCATCTCTCAGCCCTTGACGCCGACCGCGATGGTGTTGGACTTGGGATGCACGAGAGCAATGGTTTCGAGAGTGGCCGCACAGGACCTCATGGAGTTCTGTGACAAGAACAAGAACTGTGGCATTTGGTACAACATAGCTGAGACCACTTCTCAGTTCACCTTTGCCAATTCCGAGTCGACCAATCCAAGTGCAACCAGAAGTTGGTCATTTGCATGTACGACCGGGATTATGCAGTTCAATCCACAGAGTTCGACATTGTGGAACAAGGACATGTTCCCATTCTCATGTCCCTACCTCAGATGCGCAATCTTCGGTTCCAGTTCGAACTTCATCCGGAAAAGGCCTTGCTCAGCAGCCCTGTGCTGGGAATCAAGGATGTGAGGCTTAAGGTTGCACCTAGCTCACACCTGGTACTTGATCTTCTTGAACTCAGTCAGTTGATGTGGAATGTTCGTTTCAGCAAGCATAAGAAGTCGAGCTTCCTCACCTACTTCTCCCACTACGAGTACGGCTTCCATCAGAAGACCGAGGGATGCTGTTCTCATGAACAGGTACCCGACAATCTCGTTTTGGCGACAGATGATGAATGGGTGATCAATGAAGCCGACATGGAAATGATTCGCATCCACAAGAAGATGAGAAGAGTCAAGTACGAACCCAAGGCGGGTTATGTGCCAATTCCGTTGGAGTATCTGGACACCAAGCGCAAGACGATCATGGAGTTCTCCAAGGGAAAGAGCGTTACTCAAGAAGATGACTGGCGTTCTTCTGAGCCTTCTTCAACAAGGACTACTGATTCTTGGAAAGGCAAGACCATTTTCAAGATTCTGCCTGGTGGCATCGAGAGTAGAACCTCGGTGCCAGCTAAGTCCAAGGATCCAACCCGTGGAAAGGTAGGATCTCCAGAGGACATGGTTAGCGCAGGTAAGCCTGAAGACAGCTCGAAGAACACAGGAGCATCCGGAAGCTTTCCACAGGGAAAGGCACCGGCAAAGAGAAGGATTCGAGCCAAGGGAAGCTTTCCACAGGGAAAGGCACCCGAGGAACCTGCTCGTCGTCGTCTTGCTCCTCAGGATGATCCGGATCTTCAAGAGTACGAACCTTCCGAACCGGGGGATGCAGATTTGCTTCCTCCGCAGGCCCCAGAGCCACAGTCGCTAGAACCTAGGAGGATCGCGCTTCCGTTGCCAGGCCACGAGGTCTCAAGGGCCTCTCCGCAGTATCAGCGCATGTTGGAAAAGCTGAACAATGATGTTGAGCTTTACAAGTTGCATGTGAAGCATTACCACATGAGTCCTGCTCAGTTTCGACGCAGGACCAGCATGCTTGGTCTGCCAGGAGAGATCTATGACAAGTACGACCGCATTGTCAAAGGCTGTCGTGTTTGCAGCACCTCGGTGCCTACGCCTCCGCGAGCCAGAATCGCAGGGTTAAGAGCATCATCCTTCGGTGATCTCATTTTTGTTGATCACGAAGAAATCAAGTTCGGTACTAAAGCCTACTTGGCTTTGGTCATCATTGATGGTGCTTCAAATCTCCTGTGGGCTACGGCTCTCACAAGCCTGGAAGCGCCAGAGACTCTGGGAGCTTTTCGACAATGGACAGAGGAGAACAACTGCGTTCCTAAGGGAATCGTAGGAGATCAAGCATTCTACACGCCGCAGTTCATGTCATATTACAAGTTCCATGGTATTACTCCATATCCGTGTGGACCGCGGACTCCTTGGCCAAATCGAGCTGAGACCGCAGTGCGTCTTTTCAAGCGCACATGGGCAATCATGGCCAAGGCCTTAGCCGATGAAGGTTATGCAGAGAAGGTGACTGTTCGTCAAGCAGTCAAGAAGGTGGCTTGGGCAAGAAATGCCAGCTTACCGTCTCAGGCTATTCTCCTTTAGAGATAGCTACAGGGAGACGGCCACCAGACTTGTTTGATGTGGAGAACAGTACTCCTGAACAGCTCTCTGCTGATCCTGCCGAGGAGGATAGAACCACTTTGGAACTTCAAAGGATTGCCATGCGAGCTCATCAAGAGGCCAGACAGTCGCTTGATCTTCGGAAGGACCTTGCGCGCAGAGTGATGCCGTCAGATGGTCCATACTCGAAGGGCGACCGCGTGTTTGTTTGGCGCAAGGATGAGTCGAAGAAGAAGTCTGAAGGAACCTGGGTCAGAGGTATAGTTGTGTCACAAGAAGGTGCCATGGTGTTGGTTGAAGTCCATCGTGCCGTTCTTCGGGTTAACCAGTCGAAGGTTAGGCGTGATGGAGATCCATGGCATGATGTTGCTATTCCCCTGAAGAAGGATGAGGTCCCGAGACGCTCTTCTCAAGAAGAGGCACTCGACCGCATCGGCGACGATATTCTTGATCGTGCCGGTTCTGGGTTCTGCTATGACCATGAGATCTGTTACGACACTCTCACTTCAGGCAAGAGCGATTTCGTTGAGATCACACCCTCGCCTCACCGGGCTTACTGCGTGCACTGTCCATTCTGGACTTGATGCGAGTGAACCTGTGTTGTTTGGTGAATGGAATGCCAAGTCCATCCAATCTTCGATTGAGTATGCTTGGCAAGTGATCTTGAAGGCAGAGCCGAATCACATTTTCATTCATCCTGTCATTCCTGATGGTTGGCCTAGAAAGGCAGCCAATGCCTTCTGGCACTTTTGTGCTGAAATCTGCCGTTGGCAAGATGACAAGGGTGATGGATACTTTGTGACCATCATGTATCCTTCTCATTGTGGTTTCTGGCTCTCTCAGAGCAGTCGCTCTCTGAAGTGGAGAAGAGGACTTTCTTTCCTCACCTTCAAGAACCGTGGTGTACTTCCTTCAGGGGGAGAAGACCACGGTGAACATCAGCATGGTGAGCTTTCTTTTCTCACCAATTTGCCTGAGGGATCATTTGGCCGTTTGGAGTCGTTGGATGAAGGATATGACTCTGCTGACGCACTTGATCCAAGGTTTGCTGTGCTGCTTTCGCAGTGTCTTGTGGGTGATGAACGATCAGATCTCCGACAATCTTACTTGTTCGAAGATATCTTTGAGGATTTCGATGATGGAACACTGTGTGCGTTGTGTTTGCGATCAGACCGAAATTCAGAGGCTCTGCCGGTTCTTCCCTCAGAAGCTGAGTATTCTTTACTCTCAAATAACGACAAGGGGAAGCTTCCGCCGTCTCTGCGGTTTGTTGCGCCACAGCGTTTTGTTACATCGTCATTGGTCCAGACTCTGTCGTATGTTGACAGTCTCCTTCCGGGTACTGAATTGGAAGTTCACACGACCACTTCGTCAGAAGCAGTCGCTCTGCGACCGATGATTAAGAATGTGCGAGTGCTGACTCTTCCGTACCTGGAATTTGAGTACTGTAATGTCTACAGGGGGACTCAAGGGAAGACACTTCCTTTGGTTCATCGTCATCCTGATGCTGTTGTCATTTTGTGGCAGAAGGGTGATATGGATCATGTGTTTTTCGTGACGATGGCACAGTTGCTTCCTTGCCTTAAGGATATGCAATCAACGAATTGGTCCATGATAGTGTTCTGGAATGAGTCACAGAACAACAGTTCCAGACGCGGGCCTGATGTTGGTTTGGACTTCACGGACCAGCCAGCACCAGCCCCGGTTGTACCGCAACCGCCAGCCACGGACGACGATGTGGACTATCCAGGATACGATGATCCACATGGTGATATGCCTGTGGATAACGAGGAGATGCCACTACAACATCCAGAGCAGGATTTGGATGATAATCCTGTGGAGTTGCAAGTCGGTGGTGACCCTCCGTCACAACCTCCTGGAGGCGGTACTCATGTACCGGTACCATGGGGAGATGATGATTCCGACCTGGATCTGGATCACGATCCGGACGGTGGTGGACAGCCGCCAGGAGGCGGTCCTCAGGGGCCGGGACCTGGTTATGGTCCTTCACCGGATGAGCCTCCTCTTCCGATGGAGTTTCACGAGGAATCGCCTCCTCCTGGAGGTCCTCCTGACTCTCCTGGGGCTCCGCCGCAGTTTGCGAATCCGGATCAGGTTCTTAGTCCACCGATGCCTTGGCCGGCGCCACCTTCGGTCAGTCTATGTCTGGCCAACAGTTGACGATGGTCGAGGTATTGAGCTCCCGAAAGGGCTGGGCTCGAAGTCCTCGACCTGTGAACCTATGAGTTGTTACTTATTTAGCTTTTTGCCCACAAACATCCAGATGATGCAACACATTTGCCACATCGTTTTGTGCCGAGCTTTTCGAGCTTTGAGCTTGACATTGACATTCAGTGTTCATGATCTGCCGCATTGATAGCTGCAGCTGAGGCTCTCATTGGGCCCTCACTATTTCACACAGAAATACCACCAATAAATCAGAAGTTGAGCAGTTTCCACCATAAGCTTCTAAAACAGGAAACACATTCCAGCACCCGAAGCATGATTTGCCATGGACAACACATTTTGGGCAGGCTTTTTGTTAATCCACATGTTGGTCACCCATGTTTTCGTAGCTATGGTAGCGAGCACAGCGACCTGGGCTTGGCTAGGAATTCTGGACGAGGTTGTTGGCAAAGTTGAATCGATCGCTCATGAGCCATCCTACGTTCCAGAATTCTTGCGAAACAAGCTTGCTCATGCTGGTGTCAAGCTGCAACCGCCTGATCGATCAGCTTCATCATCTACAACAGTACCGGTGCGTGGTTTGGTATCTGTGCGTGTTGGTGCAGCTTTTGATGCAGCATCGAGAGGAGCATGGTCTAGGGAGGCATTGTTTCTTCAGCGTGCAGTGTACAAAGGCGCTTTGGATGGGTACCTACTTCAGATAGCTAGTTCTTATTTTTTTCCACCCTGGGAAACCGAGCTGCATATTTGCGAGCTTCAGCGGAAGGCTCATCGATGGAATGAGAATAAGCGCTCTGGAGGCATTCGGCTTGCACTGTCTGGCAAAGGTCGTCGTCTAAGTCATCATATTTTCCTGCCACAGTCTTGGAAGCTCGGAGAGGATGAGTCTCCTACAGACATAAATCGGTTGATTCTAGACCTAAGTGTCAGCAAGGCGGGGGCGCCTGATGGGCAAGTGCAGCCTGTGAGCAGCGTGTTGGAACCAGCCGAGATTGCATCATTGGACTTGAGCCAGTGCCCTTGTATCTTGTTGCCGAATTTTTTGTTTCAGCTGGTCAAAACAGGTTTGTGGAAAGAGGTGGTAGCTTTGGCTCGATGGTCGCACCCAGAAGTGCCATCACTATCCCAGGGTTTGCCGGAGGATTGGGTGCGATTGAATAAAGGCAAGTCAGAACAACCCAGGCAGCCTGCAATTCTGTCAGAGAGAATGGCAGGTCTTTGTAGTTCACTATTGCGTCGTGCCACACCGCACTTGCTTTCTGAAGAGATGGACGAGGAACTTGCAGCTGGTGTACAGGGTGAGGTTGACATATGTATCAATGCATTGGAAAGTCATGCTTTATCCATGATGCCTTCTCGTCGGGGACTTCGGGATCAATCGAACAGTCGAAGTGCAGAGTGCTTGCTAGCTCAAGTTTTGGCAGCGATGGATTTGCGTAATCAGGGACATTTCAAACGTCATGCCATGAAATTTTTGCGCTGTGTGCCAGCAGACTTGCAAGAAGTGTTGCGAGTCCACTTCGAGAAGCACGGGGCGAGCCAGAGCGCAGTGGTTCGCGGAGGCCTCTTTCTGGATCTTGCTCTTTTGTGCGAGCATCGTTCGCGGATGGCGCGGTTGGGGCCGGTGGTGCGATATGCGTGGGGGGATGCGACCAGCAAAGGCGGCCGAGAAATCTACAACACACGATGTCGTTTCATAGAATTATCAAAAGTGGTTGAGCTCGCACGTGGCTGGAGGTTTTTGTGCTTGAACCCAGCTTCGGATGATCAAGATTCAGAGCAAGCAGAGCAACGTTGTGTTCATTCGCAGGCATTGTTTGACAATGTTCATTTACACACACATGTCCCTCAATACCTCGGCCAAGGCCGCACGACGTTGCTGGACAAAGTCAGTGCGCATGTACATTCCACACTTCTGGAAGCTGGCACAGTTTCTGCGATGTCGGATGTGCTAAAGAGCGTGGTGGCATGGGTCACTGATATGTGTGTAGAAGCTGGTCTTCCAAACTGTCATGTAAGCACTCCAGAGTCAACCTTGCCATCCTTTGTTCGTCCCAGTCGACTTCAGGTGTGTCCAGAGGATGCCGAGTTTGTTGAAGAAGGGTTCTATGAGATGCAGGGAGAGGCTGCCTCGAATGCTGCCCTGATGCCAGCAGCCATTCATCTGCCAGGCGTGTGTCATGCCGTTCACAATGCAAGTGCCAACTTGAACTCAGCATTGTCTTACTTCGATGATTTTCTGAGCAAGCTGCGTGTTGTACACAAGTTCTTGGGATCACCAAGTCGAAGAGACCGTTTTGTAGAGGTGGTTTTGCAACGCAAGCCGAGTTACGATGTGGGTAAGAGTCTTTTCAAATCGTTTACCAAGACACTGTATGAGGAGCGATGGGGCGAAGTGGCCTCGTATTTGAAATCTGCACAATCTCTTTTCACTTTTCTGAGGTTACATTGGGATGAGGTTGCGTATGTCCGGGATGCGGGCGATGCGGACGTCGCAAGTGCAGAAGATAACTTCACAGCAGGTGGTTTGACAGCGTTGATAAAAGACGGGTTCTTCCATGCTTACTGGGAGATGCAGCTACACATCCGCCTTTGTTTGCAGCGGTTTTTGCGTTGGGCTGAAGGCTGTTCTTGCCATCCTTTTGCAGATGGCACCCCGCGCACCCGAGAGACGAAACTGCGAGGTGAAATTTCTTGCCCACGTGAGGTATCTTGCACCTGCCCCATGATGGGCTGCCAAGCGCCATTCCTTGTTGAGGGGAAGCTGCAAAGTTTCAGGGAAGAGCTGCTGTCCACGGGTTTTAACGATGTAGTGTTGAACTGCCATTGCCAGTTGACTGCAGTGCAGTGGAGTGATCTGGAAGCTGAGTGGAAGCGTGGGTGCCAGTACTTGTGTGAAAATCTCAAGCTGCGGCTGGCTTTTTTCGGGAAGCTGCCGTGGTCCATCTTAGGGGGTTGCCATCCGGATCCCGAGGTGTCAAGGAGATTGCTTGCTGCCGCCAGGGATGCATGGAATGAGTTGCCAGCCGATTCCCACGAGCTGCAGCACCCAGTTGCTAAAGAATTGTTCGCGTCTAGCCTCATGGAGGAGGAACTTGGCTCTTATTTGTCAGGGGAATCAGCTTTGGAGGACTTGCCGCTTCTAGAGACATTCTTGGCGAAGCTTACCTTTGTGCAAGTGGCAGAGCGTATCATAGAAGGTGCACACAAGGAAATGGGCAAGGTGACTAATTCCAAAAGCCCATCTGCACTGTCGATAGCACTTCGGGCTCCTGAGTTGAATCGCAGGTTGTCTCTCAGCTCAACTTTTTTTGCTGATCTTGTTGAGGCTTTTGAGAAGACTCGAAAGATTCGTAAGTTTCGCGAAGAGTTTCCTGCCCATGCCCAGCATCCGGACATCTTATCCTTGGACAAGAAAGCTCAAACATCGAAGTTCGTTTCTGTGGTGAGACATGTCCTCTATCGTGACCCGCGTCACCAGCATGCCGACCTTTCGACTGCCAAAACAAATCTTCAACAGGGACAAAAGGAACAGGATAGGCTAGCCAAGCCTTTCGCTGCAGCAGCTCCCAAGGCGCCAGAGGCAACAATCATTGCCCGTGCTGTCAGTGCGTTCGTGCAGGAAAGTTGCGAGGAAGATCAGTCTCGTGTTTTTTCGATTGGAGACATGTTCTTCACACCTCTTGTATTGCGGCCATCAGCTATTCGTCGGCCAAGGCATGCCCCGGGGGTCCAGGCCGATGTTGGTCGTGGGGATATGTTGGTGTCTGTCCTGCAACACGATGCTGCGTCTGAAGGTCCTCATTCCCCTTTTGTCTCGCCGTTGCAGCCAGAAGCGCATAAGCTGAATCTGGAGACAAAGGTTGAAGAAATGGGAGTGTCAGGTTTCTTGGAAGGGTTCCGGTCGTGGCAGATGAGTAGCTCTCGCCATTTCACGTTGCCGTTGCCTGCAAACGTGCGTGTGGATGCGAGTGAGCTTTCTGTGCTAGTGACTGAAATGTTGGACAAAGACTGTCTGGCAGGCAGAAGCGGAATCCTTCTAAGGCCCTCCCAGGAACAGACTCGGTTGCTTCAACAGTGTGAGGCATGCGGCGTGGCGGAGCAGTCCAAGGGTGGCTGGATTCTTTCTGTAGAGGGCATCCGCAAGTTGCAGGTTAGTCGTAGGCTGGAGCAGCCAAGCCTGTTTGGTGACGGCCGTGGCATCCCGTTGCAGGATTGCTCGCTTGGCCAGCTTCTTATGCGAATGAGGTCAGAAGGTTGGCAGATGCATCCCAAACCCAGAGTCAGGAAAGGTATCAGGTATGGTGTTGAAATACATTGTCGGTGAGCCGCGTGTTTGGCATTCGTCTGTATTGAATGTAAACAAAAATTATCTGTGCTGCTTGTTAGATGCTGAGAACTTGAAGCACACTCATGGCACCGAGTGGATACCGCATGCCGCCCCGGCCAAGACCTACGAGCTCCTTCTCTCGGGAGTGCCCTCGTCAGAGGCTTTGCAGGCTGCCTTGGAGGATGTCGCCGCGAAGCGGAAGGCGCCCAGGTTGCAAGTTACGGACGGAGATGTTGAAGGGGACTTCGCGGCTGCGCCGGTTGGCAAGAGAGCTCGTATCGCTTTGAAGGACCAGGTTCAGGATGATCCGGAATTAGGCGAGGATCGTCCAGATGAGGACAAGGCCAGTATTTGTACAGAGGAAATTCAAGAAGATCTGGAGCGATTGATCGCAGAGGCCGACGAGGTCGAAGGTGGGGTTGAATTGGGTGCAGAGGAAGGTGGTGCTGGTGCGGCATCCAGTGCTGCCGGGCCTGCCGGGTCCGCTGGAGCACCTGCGGCTCCAGCGCCAGCAGCAAGGTCTTCCATCGAGAGTGTTCCAGCAGTTCCAGCTGGTGCAGGGATTATTGATGCTGCAAGTGCGGCAAATGACCTTAGTTCGGCGAGCTTGTTGGCTGGCACTGTGGCTCGCCTTCAAGAGCGTAGCAGTGCAGGCTATGGTGCTGGCTTTTCCTTCAGCAGGAAGCAGCCCCACTCTGCTCCACCTTTCGGTGGAGTGGAGGCCACTTGTAGGTACCATCGTAAGAACACTTCTACTGGCTGCAAGAAGTTCATTAGATTGACTGGCTTGTCAGCCGAAGCTGAGCAAGAGTGCTGTGTTACATAAGCCCACTGGTGTAACATGGCCACGAAGTATACGAGACAGCGTGACCATCTCCGCATGTCCCTGAAACCAGAAGACATCCCGCCAGCTGCCGTTGTGGAGCAGCAGGCTCTCGTTGAACCGCCGCCGGATCGTGTGCAAACGGACAAGGAATTGGATGATGCAGAAGCTGCAGCGAAATCCAAGGCCAAGGCTAAAGCCAAGACGAAGGCCCAGGCCAAAGTCAAAAGTAAAGCAAAATCAAAGTCGAAAGCCAAGGCAAAATCGGCTTCCGTTCACCATGATGTCGCAGACGACGGGCCTTCATTTGCAAGTGCCCCTGCCCCTGCCGCTGGGGGCGACGAAGCTGCTTCAGATCCCGAAAGCAGTTCAAGCAGTAGTGCTGAGTCTGAGTGTGACAGCGGCAGCAGCAATAGCAGCCGTAGCAGCAGCAGCTCCAGTTCCAGTAGTTCAAGCAGTTGATCTGTTCCGTACTTCGCCCGAGCACGGTGGATGGAGGCCAGCCCCAGGTTTTGCTTGTGTTGCCGTCTTGCAGCCTGACAGTGTAGAGACTTGTTGCTTCAGTGTGTTGTGTTGAGCAAGAACCCTCCCCCACGAATTTGGCAGGACTTCCTAGCCGACTGCAATCTTTGCCTGGGTTTGCGTGGTAAGCCGGCTAGATCGCAGAGCATGACTGTAACCTTAGCCAATGCGGTGTAGACTTCCACCGTCACAGTGGGGGGCTTTGTGCAGCGGCAGCAAAAGATAAGTTGGCGTGTGTTGCAGGTCCCTTCATGGCGGCTGGTTGGTGCTCGCCGCAATACTTTGTGATGGCAAGGCCTGGTCACTGTAGGAACTCTTGCCTCGCGTTTGGTCGGCCTGGAAGGCTTCCGTTGCAAGTTGTAAGGTGAAGTAAGGTGTTGTAGGCAGGACAGATCAGATTGTGCAAGCTGAGACAGACAGCCCCGAAGTACCGCAGAAACCTGCCAACGTGCTTGCAGCGGAAGATGTGTGTTCAGTTAAGCCAGGTGGGGGGGCCATTGCATTGATGCGGCGGTCGTTGCCCCGGAGTGCTGCAGTTGAAGAGTTTTGTGGCTTCAGTAGCTTTGCGTCGACAGTGCAGCAGCGACTTTGGCGCTTTTTCCTCTGTGTGGGTTGTGCGAGGTCCTGAGAGGTGCATTCGATCGTGAAGTGAGCCGTTTTTCTGAGGTGGGAGGCCCTTTGGGGCCCGAGAGGTCTTTTTGCTGGGAAAGTGGGTCGGCCAGGCACCAAGCGGTTGTGACAGCGGTTGAGGGCTAGCAAGGGATGATAATGGGGTCCGGGGCTGTCCGGGACGGCCCGGTTCGGGTTTAGCGACGCTTAGCGACGCTTAGCGACGCTTTAGCCACGGTTTCCGGGCCGTTCCGGGTAGGGTCAAGGAAAGTAGTAGCGACACTTAGCGACGGTTTAGCGACGGTTTCGCGACGGTTTGGGGTACCCAGAAGACGTGTTTTAGGGCTTAGTTTTGGCCTAGCGACGGTTAGCGACGGTTAGCGACGCTTTAGCGACGGTTGGGTCGGTTTGTATTAAACATTAGCATTATTGAGCAAAACCATGAACCCACCAGTTTCAGCACAAACTTTCTTCTTTTTTCGCTTCGAAGCCAGTACGAGCCCCATATTGGCCCATAGTGGCCCCATATGGATCCACCAAGCCCACGAAGCCACAAAATCTCCTTGAAAGCCTTTGCCTCCAGTGTTTCCAAGCAGAAGCAGCAGAAGTGGGGCAAAAGAATGGGGCCCCGGCTGGCCCCCTGGGCCCCTGGTGCATGCCTGTAAGTACTTTTCGTAGTTTTGCGCTGTGTTGGCCCAGTGCTCAGTGCTCCCCCACACGTTTGTATTCGTATTATGGGGCTATAGGCCGGCTGTTGTGCGGGGGTCTTTTCTTGCTGCTGCTATTCCCGATCCCGAAACCGACGAGCCTAGAGTAGAAACTCAAACCAGAAGCCCCTACCCTGCAACCGTAGTTGAAACCAACAAGGCACGGGCGGCTGCCGGCGTGGGCCGGCATTGCTTCTTCCTTTGGTGACAGGCCAGGCCTCCGTCATCCGTGACAGTAGGACCGTCAGTCACTTTTGTCTAGTCAATCAGCAATCGCTGTCGCACTGTCAGTTGAATCTAGGTCCGGGAGACACAACAAATTCAGAGTGCGAATCAGCAGTGCCATCCCATGCCAGGGCCGGGAGAAAGTGGTGGTGCCATGAACTTCCTTTCTGGATGCCTTGAGCCCAGTGCCTCACATGCTGACATGCTTCGGTAGTCTTATACGGATACGTAAATAGTGGCATCCCTTCTACGTTGCCTGTTCTGCTGCTGTTCGGAAGGATAGGACACATACAACACGTTCCTGTGCCCATTGATGCCCGAGGTGGCTCGCCTCGGGTTGCGGGTTCAGAGGCTGGTCGTTGCAAGCTTCCTCAAGGCTGAACCGAAAGCAGACATGTGCGGATGATTAGCTTGGCGAACATGCTTAGAGTGCTTTTGCAATCTTTTTTTATTTAAGAACTTTTTTGGCTCAATATCTCATTTTGGCTTTGCCGTGGCAGTGAAAGCTCAAAGGCGTTTCACCAGGACAGCTCGAAGATCGGAAACCAACTAGAAATGCGAATAGCAGACTACGTGCTTCAAAACGGATCATGTAGATCGTGCCTGACCTACGACTTCACTAGCAGTCTCGTCCTGCTACATGGATCGCCCTAGCAAGTTCCGAAGATGTGGCACTGCCTTGGCTGAGTCAGAACCAGGCCCGAAGACAGTAGGTGAGCTCTGTGAGTGGCCACGTGAAGATATTTCAGACCGGCTGATTGCCAAAACAGGCATATCTGCCAAGAACTTGGTTGGTGACTTTGCCGGTGCTGATCGGACTATCTGGGTCACCAGCTCCTTTTCTGGGATAGCCACAGTGGAGCACTGTCTCACCCGCCTGGCGGCTCAGCACGGTACGGCGGACTTTGGCGAACCAAAGTCTACCTTCCCTCCTTTTTGCTTCTACAGCATGTGGGAGGTGAACGAAACCTGCCGCAAGACAGTGGCTAACTCCAAACTCCAGCCAATGCACATTTTCGGAAGTGTCTGTGACAAGTGTTCTGTGGATGTCCAGGACAGATTGGAGTTTGTGCGGTCAAGCTGGTGCCAGCGGCAGCAGGAAGGTATGCCAGCCGAGCAGAAAAGGCAAGCTGCTTGGAAGCAGGAGTGCGATGGAAAATGCATGAGCAAGTTGCTTTCGGTAGGCACGGGTGCGTGCGGCATCGGCAAGAGATCGAAGACGGCATACTGTTACCGCCACAAGCGACAATGCCTTGTGGATCCACCGGTCACACACCGGGACCTGCACTTTGAGATCGCAGGGACGCCTTGCGTGGCTTTCAGCCCGCAGGGCGGTCGATCAGGCTGGCTGCATGAGACATCGATCCCCACGTCGATTTGGTTTGCTGCAACAAGTAAGAGCAATGTGGACTTGGTGTTTCACGAATGCAGTCATATGTTCCCCAGCCAGGGTGCCTTTGGCATGGCTTTCTCTGCTGGCGGCGGCTTCGAGTTTAGCGTTGTCAAAGTGATGGCAAGCACGGTGGGCATCCCCACGCAGCGTCCCCGAAAATTTACCTTGGCGTGGCGCAAGGAAGCCCTGCAGAGTCGAGCCCAGCTTACTGAGGACTTGTTCGCTGGAGTTTGTGGGTCTTCAGTTCAGTGCAGCAGCCACGACTTTTGGTGTGCCCCACAAGAGAAAGTTCAGGCTGCTTTGATCGCCCAGGCGAAAAAACATGGCGCGGACTGGTCATTGGCCAGCCTGGGCCGAGATGCTCTCAGCACTGGGGACAGAGTGCGGCTGTCAGGTTACGAAACCGCTGCCCGGGACCAAGAAGGCAGCCAGGATCAGCTTGCTGTCGTAGATCTTTCACAGAACGTGGCCTGGAGACCCAAGCTGGGCTCCGGGTTGCCATCCATACTATGCGGCTCAAGGGTATGGTCCATGCAGCACGAGAGGGTTTTGATCAGCGAGGAACTCTTCGTCCTAATGGGCTGGCCTGTACCCGGCATGGGGATAGGGATGAAGGACGACGGATCGTTTCCGTTTCAGGACGACATCTTCCTGAAAGATGGAGCCGCCAAAAAGATGACAGGTAATGCGATGCAATGCAGGCTGGTGGGCTTGTTCCTTGCGTTGGCTTTCCATATTCTTGAACCCAAAGATGCTGATGCAACTTGAGCTCTGAGCGAGTGAGCGTGGGTGTGCTGGAGCACATACCATGTGAAGCTAGATTTGCGAGTGTATCGGCCTGTAGAAGCTTGGTTTGAGCAGTTTGAGCCGATCAAAAGAGTATAGTCTAGTGTAGCCGCAGGCCAGTGTCGAGTCTTTGCATGAGAATCTTTCTAAATTTGCAGCGTGGGCTAGAGACTCTCAAATACACGTCGTTGCTTGCCAGGCAGCAGTTTCTTATCGCTTCTGGGCAGACCGATACCAGCTTCATGATGACAAGCAACGAAGTGCAGACGGTTGGCTCATGTCTTCGAAGCCAAGCTATGGCCAGGATTAGGGAAGTCTTGACAGTGCAGACATGAACATGTCTCGTTGTGCTCCGGAAATAGAGCATTCCTTGCAGTCTGACATGGTGCACATCAGCTTCTGATTTGGCAGATGTTGCAGTTTGCCTCGCTTGCCATGCTAGAGGCGATCAGTTTTCGGGCTCTGGGGTGTGGGTTGCACGGCCTCGCTTAGCCGGCTTAGCCGCTGAGCGGTGCATTCCTGTCCATTCCATGGCGGATGGAGGACCAGCAGTGGATGTTGAGTCGGCCATGGATTCACTAGACCAAGAGTGGGCGGAGATGATGAACAATCCAGAGGATGCCCGAGTCTCTCCCCCGCCGAAGCGTAGGCGTGTGAGTGGAGAGATGAGCCAGGCGTCTGCAAAGAAAAGTGCCAATCCCAAGGCTAAGACGAAGCCTAAAGCTGTTGCAAAGACCATTCTCAAGGCTACATCCAGCAGAGGTCCCAAGCACAGGCTTTGCAAAGGCTGCAGGAAGAAAATTCCTGTGGAAGAATGCCCTCCGGGGTTTTACGGGTGTTATCCGTGCAAGCGAGCATTGGATAACATCACGAAGCTTGCAGCGAGACAAGGTGAGGAGCAGCAGGCGTTTGTACGAACTGCCAGGGCTGATGATGACAAATGCTTTGCAATGGTCCAGTCGTACCTCGAGGCATGCCCGGAGTCGCTCGAGACCGCCTCAGGCAAAAAGCGAGGCCAGTGGAGCGTTGTTCGCTACATGGAACGGGTGACGGCGGCCACTGGCCTGCTAAAGGACGCGGTGGGAGAGATGATGTGGCTCAAACTTTACATCGAATTCGCCCAAACGACCAGAGGAGGGCGATTGACAGACGACCAGGCCTTGGCGACTTGGAAGCAGTGGGAAGAGAAGAAGAACCGTGGCGAGCAAATTCTTCATGATTTCGGAGGGCCAGACAACAGCCAGCTGCGGTTTTGGGTTAAAACCGCTGACACCCTGACCTACAGGTCTTCCTTCTTCAAGGAGAAGTCCGTGGAGTGCGAAGGCGAGAGCATTCGCAAAGCCGGTGATGACCAGGTTGATCGCCTGAAGGCAAACATCACTCGCAACCATGGGAATGAGGCTGAGTTTGACGGCATTGCCGCATCCATGGCTGTCAACGGCCAGAACGCATTCTTGGGAAAGGATGGATTCCTTGACATTCTCCAGCTGAAGGCCGATGTCGAGGACGACTCGGAGGATGAGGCGCACGAGCCGGAGGCCACCGCTTCATTGGCTGAAGGTTCTGAGGAGAAAGGCAAGAAGGACAAGAAGGCGGACGCGGACAAGACGGCATGGGTGGAGCGAGACAAGCAAGTCTCCCAGTCAGTGCGTGCAGCCACGGCAGCTTTGCATGCCTTCCAGGAGAAGTCTCAGAGGCAGTTGGCTCGCCAGGAATCTGAGATGACGGAGCTGATCGCAAAGTTCGGCGACGAGAAGAGCAACTTCATGGGGGAGATCAAGATCTATGAGGTGCGCCTCGAGGCTTTGAAGCTATGCTTGCAAAACGATGAAACCGCTTTGAAGCAATTCATTGCCCGCTTTGCCGGCGGCTTGGCCGTCAACTCCGAGGACGCGGATGCCAGCAGGAAGGTGGAGATCGGCAACTGCCCTCCCATCGAGCTGTACCAGAAGCTCCAGACGTTTGACGGCCTCAGCAAGCTCATCGAACGGTACCACACGGCCACGCAGGCGAAGCACATCAAGGCCACAGTGTGATTCGTCGTAGATGTTGTGTTCTCGTTTCGTCCTTTGCGTCTCCGTTTTGCAGGCTGGGGTCCGGGATTTGTTGTATGCATGAAGCAAACGGGCCATGAATTGCATTGCTCGAAGCTTTTACCTGTGCAACCTACTCCTGCAAGGGTACGCTTAAAGTGCCTAAAACCTTGAGTTTGCCTTAAATTAACCCCTAAACCCTAAACCCCCCAACCCTAAACCCTAAACCTGTCAGGACATCACCGCCGTTCTCACCGAGGCTCGTCTTCCATTGTCCCAGCTCCTTGGGGCTTGCTTGCGTGCAGAGAAGTCGATTAAGGGCGCCCAGGATCAGTTGAAGAAGCAGCGCGATCGACGGCAGGCGGAAGCTCAGAAGCCCAGGCCCAACCCCGCATCAAGCGATGCAGCAGCCCTCTTCGATCAAGGTGCCGCCGTTGCAGAGGAGCTTCCAAGGTATCAGTTGGCAGGCTTGAAGGATGCGACCTTCAACATGTCCGCACCTTTCGTGATTGCGGCTCCCGAGTGGGTAGTGCAGGCCGAGGCAGAGAAGGGCAACTTCAAGTTGGCCATGGATGAATTCATCACGACTTTTGATGTGACCCGAAAGCAGCAGAAGGGCATCCGTGTTTCGAAGGTCCCGGAGCATCCTCTTGAGGATGACAGCTTCGATATGCGTAAGTTGTCATTGCAGGCTTTAGGCCATGGCCCTGAGATCAGAAATCTTCCAGCGACTGCAAGCGCAGAGCTTATCAAAGCTATGAGCCCGTCCTTCTTCGGCATCGATGCAGGCTACGACAAGGTGAGTGGAGAATACCTCGGCTTGCCCGTGCTGCGGCTCACCGCCTATGGCACACGGAAGGTCGTCCTCACGGAGATGCTTCAGTTGGTGAACTTCATGGTCAACAAGAAGGGCATCCAGGGCAACATCACGGTCGCTCGGTGCTCTTCCTTCTTCAAGTGCATGGGGCCACAAGTCTTGAAAGAGTACAAAGAGCAATCTTTGCTCTTCACAGGCACGATCGCCAAAGGTGATGTGTTGTACCTGCCATGTGGATCCTTGTGTGCTGAGTATGTCACAGAGGTCACGGTCGGCTACCGGCTACCGGTGTTGCTGAATGAGAGCGTGATCGACAAGAACATTATGGCCACCTTGACTCGCAAGACGGAGGAGTTGAAGGCTGCGGCTTCATCCAGCTCAGATTCGAAGAAGGCCGAGATGGACTTGAAGCTCTTGGAAGAGTGGATTGGTGCGGCGAGAACCAAGTTAATCCCCCCGGTGCCCCCATCAGCTGAGCCTCCTGCCGAGGAGCCAAAAAATTCCGAGCCACCTCGCAATCCACCTGAGCCTCAGGCTTCGGCTTGAGGCTGAGTCTTTCAAGCAGTGTTGCCACTGCTACGACATCAGAGTTTTCCGATGGAGGGCCGCGTGTCGCATCATATCCAGTGTCATTGTGCTTGTTGTGAATAGTTTTGCTAAATACTCCAAAATATAACTTAAAGCCCCGCTCTTTACAGGTGCACTCCAACTCAGAGAATCGGATCGCTGCGGCCCGTCCGTCTTCTGCTTTTGCTTGAAACACGCACCCATGTCGATGGAGAAACACGCTTGCAGTTGCTCTCCAGCACAGGTTTCAGGTCCCAGGTGTCAGTGACATGTGCATGCCCGGAATCGCAAGCCGCAAGCTTCACTCCCACGAGTCCGTGCCAGGCGAAGCTGATGTGAGACGGGTCGGTACCGAAAAGTTTCACGTTGAGCTTTCAGCCCTCCAGTTCAATCACTGTTCCAAAGCCCAATTACGTAATAACTTATAAATAGTCCCTTTAGGTCCTTTGAAAGCCAAGCTGCTCAAGCCTCGACAAGAGACTTCAAACCCGGCGTGTGAAATAACTGATAACGGTTTGCTCGTACAATGCGCATCCGGGGTGTGGTTGTTTCAGTTGCCGAGCCAGTTTGCATTCTTCAGCTTCGAGGTTGCAGCAGAGGCTCGCGGAACTTTCGAGCTCTCAGGGCTCGGTATCGCTCGAGTGTAGGTTGCAGGTGTTGGAAGGTTCAGGCCATCAAAGTCTGTATATCCCATCACCCATGCCACCCCAACTGTCCGCAACTTGTCAACACACTCAATGATTTCGTTATTGCTGCCGCTTGATCAGGCAGGTGTCAGAACTTTGATTTCGGGCACTCGAGAAATCATTCGCGCAAGCTTTTCAACACATGACAATCTTGCGGGGCTTCGCCCCATACCGCCTTTTCTGGGCTTCGCCCGTACCGCCTTACTCCGGTATAGGTTCTTCTGGAATCGCATCCCGAGTTTGCAGTTTGTAGTCCCAACCCGTTTGGATGGCTTCTGAATCGTTATATCGGTCGTGCCAGTCGTGTTAATATACTCTTCTCGGCGGCCTATGCTTGCCAATCAGCCTATTGGTGATTGTTATTGATGTTTTTTGTGTAGCTGGTTCTTGATGTGGTATTTGTGCTCATCGATACTCATAGGTATGGGTTTTGATCCCACTGTGGCAAAGTAGCAACAGGCGCTAGCCAGAGCATCGGGTACAATTCCATCAGGGTTGAACCGTCGCTGGGATATTTATACTGGGGGCATCTTCAGAACACCTCTTGGGCCGTCAACGGCCATCAAGAAAATGTTCCAACATGCCCCGTGGTTTTATACACCCATGTGTTGCAGCGGCACCTGGTCTGGAAGTATGACTTCCTGCGGTGCTTCCTTGGATGCCTGACCAACGATGAGCTGATTGAGCTCGATCAGGAAATCTTTAAGATCTTCCAGATGCGGCACAATCACAGCGGATGGGCAGTGAAGTCATCCAAGCAGCTGTCACAGCTGACCCGGCACGACACAAGGGTCACGCCTGGCCGATACATGGAGATTCCACTGGAGACGATGATGAAGCACCCCTTAAGGCCTTTCGAGTGGGGGCCCAAGAAGTTCTTCGCCTTCTTGATGGCGAACTGGAAGGGCCGCTTCAACATCTGGGTTGCCCCGGTGGCTCTGCAGTTCGAGCGGTTCTTCGACTTCGACTTCTACGTCGGGGTCTCCGCCGTACAGGGCCACACTCGGATGCCCGAGCAGGTTGCTGATGTTGCCTACGGGGAGAGGCTCACCTTGGAGCGATGCCGCCAACTTGGAACCATTTTCCACGCCTCGGATAACTCCAACTACGAGAGCATCCGGGAAAACGGCTTGAAGCTGGAGGCGACGAAGGCGGCGTGGCAGCGGCACAGGAAGGCCATCCACCTCGTTTATGCGGGTGGAGTGGTTTCTCCTGGGCCTGGGACCGTCATTAAGTACGGCTCCTACGTCTTCTACGCCAAGGTCGATTACGAGAGCTACCTTAGCCACGGCCACGATCTGTTTCTTACAGACAACGGCATGGTGCTCTCGTACAAGGACATTCCAGCGATGTATCTCACACATCTCTACCGTCCTCCTCACGAGCAAGATCCGGGTGGCATTCGCCACGAGAAGAGGCAGCAAAGCGCAGGGGTAGGCTCTTCTCAGGAAGAGGGAACCTCAGCGTCTGCTTCTGCATCTGCTTCCGGACACTCTCCACATGGAGGGGTACCGGGTAGCAGTTCGGATCCAATGCCTTCGAAGCCAGCTCCCAAGAAGAGGCCAAAGACATCTCAGGATGCAGGCCAAGCGTCGTCGGGAAGCTTCTCTCAGGAGAAGGTACCCACCTTGGACGCAGCAGCTCTCCAGAAGCTTATTCGTGACAATGAGCTTAAGGCAGAGCGGGAGCGGCAAGCCACAGCCTCCGAAGGAGACACCAAGTATGCGTACCAGTCTGGGGACACCGTCCACGGCAAGGTTGATGCGCATAAGTCCCAGCAGCAGGAGGAGCTCAACGAGGTTCTCCGCAAGGCAAGGACAAATCCATGGCATCTCTTTGCCCATGGCAAGTTGCGCATGGTGGACGCTTATGGCCAGCCGATGCTTAGCACCTATGGCGATGCCCTCGTCAGGTCACCCCCTGGCACACCTTGACTACTTCGATGAGGGAGTCTTTGGGTGGTGAATACGACTGGGCATCCTGGCTGCAGCATCCTCTTTCGGGGTACTCCCTGCACTTCTTCCTCAAGGCTTTCGAGATGGGGAAGTTGCAGGGGAACTACCTCGTGGAGCTGGACAAGAAACCGAAGGTTTACTCCAACGGTTACTCGTCACCTTGGATGAACTTTAAGTGTCATCCTGGAGGTCTTGCCCAGATGCTGGACGACGTCTCCGTCGCCGCGACGAACGAATTCAGGCCCAGCGTGGGTAACATCGGATTCGATCGCCCTCGAGACTCTGATTCTCGTGCAAAGATGCCAAAGACGGAGGATCCTGATTACTCTCGCAAGCTCGCCGCACACAATGCTTTCCTCAGGGAAAGGTATGTGTACGATGAGGTTCGCTATGTGCGAGATGATTTTCAGATGCTCGTTCGCGTCATCAATGAGGCTTACGGAGTGGACTTCTTCTCCTATATCCAGCGCCACGCCAGTGATCCTGAGGTTCGCAGGAAATACGTGGTGAAAACCACTGAAGGCTATTGTCTTTATGACAGTACCCTCAAGCAGCCGTTCAGCGGCAGCTACCTTCTGGCGGTTCTGGAGAAAGTCTTCGCTGAGTCTGATCAGCGAGATTTCAAATCGGCTTTCGCCAGAAAAGCAAAAGCTGACTTGATGGCTTACGAGGACCTGAAGGCGAAGAAGGAGTCTGAGCTGAATGAGCTCCTCACCCGACCATATGATGACATTATGATCGAGGAGTTTATCGAGCGGCTCCCGTGTCCACAGATCTAGGAGATCGAGGAGCCTCCTGCGGATACTCAGATGGATACCTCCGAGCCGGCGACTGGATCTACGGACTTGCCACAGGGCAAGAAGGTGGATCCGGTTAAGAGGCATCTGGGCTTACTGTCGAGCCAATGGAGACGGACGCTCCGGAAGGCTCTCCACAGGGAGAGGTATCCGGGACAGATGTTTCGCAGCAAAAGACCGAAGCTTCAGAAGGCTCTCCACAGGGAGAGGTATCTGAGGTTAAGGCCGAATCTGATGAGCACATGGGTCAAGAAGGAGGTAAGGTCGCGAACAGCGAGATGGCTGAGGAAGGCTCACCACAGGGTGAGGAATCCATGCCTGATATTTCTCCCGAGGAAGATGATGAAAGTGAACTTCACGATCAAGGCATCTGGGGGAAAGTCAAGACTGTTCCGGACCCTGAGTACCATCAGACCGCGAAGGATGCAGAGGACCAGAACGAGAATGCGTTCGAAGAGATGGGCAAGGCAAAGGAAAAGATGGAGCTCAAGGACACCGAAGAGTTCAAACATTTCCTGTCGCAGCTCACAGACATCGAACGACAAAGCCCTATGCGGCTGCTCGCCAAGCAGTTGCGTGGATATGGCTATTCAGGCTTGTATCATACAGGACTGCGTGATCCTGATTACGAGCCCGCTCTCGCTTTCAAGGTGCAGCATATGAGTTGGAGGGTAAATGTTCTGCCTCACAATGGACAGAAATACTCTCTCTCCACGGGGGACCTCTTCGACCAGCTCAACAAGATGGCTCCCATCTATGAGCGTCGTCCCGACAAGAAGGACGTTGTCTTTCGTTCTGGGGACGTCCGCAGCACCTTGGATGACAAGCTCATGGGCAAGGCCTCTGACATCCGAGAATCAGCATTGGAGGTTATGGAAGCACTTCTGGACAAGCTGAAGGCCCTCGATGCAAGCGGCAGTCCGGCGACTCGAGAAGAACTCTTGAATGCTATGCTTCATTACTTCTTGAGCACCGGAGTTGATGAAGAAGAGATCGGGGACCTCTCTCTTGAGAAGATGCCGAATCCTTACATTCATCGCTTTGGTCTGGCAGAGGACTCCAACGTCCCTATCTTCACCAGCAAGACCAAGTATGCCGCGCTCATCGTCAATTTGGGCAACATGAGCAGGGGAAGGAAGCTGTCTGCTCCTAGCTCCGTTGCTGATCACATTGACTGGGGCGATGCTAAACCATCTCGAGGAGCCTTGATAAAATCGATTGCACAGTCGAAGACGCATTTGTTTATGCTCTGCGAAGCAGCGAAGATCGACGACTCCGAGGAGGCTTTCCTCAAGTCACGCGGGTGGCAATTCCTGCGTAACGAGTCCAAGGACCTGATGGTGGGAAGTCGTACCAATGGTGTCGGATCTTCGATCACCCGTCTTGCCGGCTCCACTCTCAGTGGATTCGCCCACGAGTCGCTTCCAATAACCTATATGGTCGTTGAGATCGTGTATGGCATGACGTTACCGACTGGCAACCAAGGCAATCGCGGTGATGTTCCAGATGAGGCATTGACCAAGGTCTTGGAGCGTGCCGGCTCCGACCGCATCAGAGTCTGTGTCTTCCACCTCCGTAACGACGCGGCGGCAGACAAGGTGGCGTTGGCTCATGAAGTGTTGGGCAACATGTTTGTTGACTGCTTGCACTACCAAGTCGACCTCATCGGTGGCGACGCCAACATGGCCTTGTACAGGGCCACTGGCAGAAAGCAAGAGTCAATGGACATTCGTGGCGGGATGTACCAAAGCCTTCTCGACTACTTCTTGGAGGCCTGGTCAGAAAGCCCGAAGTGCCCACACCTCTGTTCGCCTCGTGCGAGACATGTGTCAGCAAACGCCATGTGGCTTCTGAAGCAGTATGAGGACACGCTGGGAATGCCATACAAGGAAGCTAAGCAACCAGACTGGAATACTTTTCCTGGTCTGGATCCTGTTCTGGCTACAGTCATGGAAATGGGACACAGCATGTCGGACGATCAATAGGCGGAGTTTCCACCTTCGAAAACCGAGTTCGACATCCATGTCTCCGAGTGGCTGTTAAATTCTACCAGCGCCGCGTACCTTCTCAACGATCGGGACTATGACGCTCACACGCCGCTCCTCATCGAGGTTCACGCGAACCAGTACTCTGGGAGCAGGATGAGGGCGCTTAACCGTAATCCCGACACCATGAAGGAAGCCGCGGACAGACGAAAAGAGAGACAGAAGCTGAACAAGACGCGTGGTTCTGGTTCTACTGGTCCTACGGCCGCACCACAGGGAGCAAGCTCTTCTCAGGAAGAGGCAGCTTCTGGTGCTAGAGCTTCTGGTTCTCAACGTCCTCAAGAACCCGCACAACCTCCTGGTGGCAAAGAAGGCGGCAAAGGAGGCAAGTCCTCCAAAGGAAAAGGCAAGGACGCCGACAAGGGCAAGTCCAAGGGCAAGACCAAGGACAGGTCCAAAGGCAAGGCCAAGGGCAAAAACTGACTAGACGTTGGTCCTGGCCCAGCATCCTTTGGTGGTAGACCGTGGTTTTCATTTCGCCTACAGCTTCATCACTGGAGATTGGAGAGATGGTACTACCCGCACTACCGGCTGTTTCATCCAGACGACAGTCCTCGAACTCGTCGCATTTTTGAGCAGTACAACCAGAGGGTGATGAACCAAGGTCCGCTGGAAGAAGTGGAGTGAGTGTTTCACGGAATGCTTCTTTCATAAGAAGGCATCCAGTTTGAGCATTCGCTATTTCATAGGAAGATGCTTTTCTCATGAAGAGGTACTTCCTTAGTGACCTTGTCAGAAAGAAGATACTTATCTCAGGATAAGATACTTCTAATGCCCTTATATATTTGCCGTGTCGCAAGATGTCATGCTGGCATCAGTAGAGCTAAGCTCTACAACTTTTATGTGACAGTAAGCTTTCCGCCTGGAGAGGAAACTGAACACAAGTGGGCAACTTTCAAGCAAAAGTTTTCAGTTGAATATCCGTTTGAGTTTCGTGCGTGTTCTGCTCTTTTCATTGAAGCTGTCTTCAGGTGAGAGATGTATAGATTCTCTTCAAGTCGCAGATGTAGCTCAATACTCCGCTAATTCGACCAAGAGCAATAACAGGCTAGTTGAATGCCGACTCCACGGCCATGCAGCTCTACGTGTTTTAAATTTGTGCCTGGAATGTTACACATCCAGGTGCCTGTCTGTTTCACGTATCACTTGCCTGTATCCATGCCTGTTGCTCAAGGTTCTAGTGCAGTGGACTACAGCTGTGCGCCTGTAGGAAAAGAGACGGAGGCCGACAAATCAGGTAAAATGAAGGGAAGCCGGGCAAGGGGGTGGCAAACGAACGCAAAAAGCGGGTGTCACCAATCATTCGGGCAGCAGGGAGGAGGATTAGGTGGAGGGTACCTGAGGTAACCCCCAACTTGAGAAGTAGGGTTTTCCTTCCGTCACTGTGCGAAATCTCACGGCCACACTGAAACGTCTTATCAAAGGTTAGTTCCTCCCCGTTTTTGTGCCAATGGCGACTTTGTCATTGACGCTGCTTTCCTTCCTCTGTGCACCTGCCATAAGAGCTTGTGCCGAAGATACATGCGGCGACTTTCTTCAATTGGATCTGGCTGTTGGTCGCAGTAGCCTTGCTGCCGAGAAGATGCCCCAGACACAGTCGGCTTCGCATCCCTGGCCGCACGCTCGTGGGAAGGTTCCAGGGCAGTTCGGTACCACCGACGTTGTCTTGGCCTTGCCAAACGGCCCGGCAAACTGGACATGGCACAATCCGAGCGGCCAGTGGGAAGACATGGTGGCAGGGGGCCCGGTCATCGATGTTGATAAAAATCTCTACCTCATGACGATGTGGGGATTGTGGAAGTTCTCGCCTTCAGGTGAGTTGCTTTGGTTCTACTCTACACCAGGTCGCTCAGATAATGAGCCCTTCCTGAGTGGCGATAGACTCTTTGGGTCCACCACAACCGGCTACGTCTTCGCTGTCGACAGGCACACTGGTCATGAAATCTGGTCGAAGAGGGTGGCGGAACGAGCAGGTGGGGATGCAGCTTATCCCGGTGCCATCGACGGAGTCTTCGTTGTCGCCTCCTCAAAGTGGGCGGGCTCCCCGGAGCAATTTCCCGGAGGGAACACCAAGATTTTTGGAATGAGTACGGAGACTGGAGATCAACTTTGGGAGTACCAGTCCGACTCAATGCTCTGGAATCTTACGCCACTCTTTCCGGAGGACGACACCTTCGTCTTTATGTCTGCCGACGGCAACGTTTATCGCCTGGGCTTGAAGAATGGAACAGTGATCTACAAGACCGACGTGAACATGCCCCACAGCTTTTCGGACGGCGGGGCGGTGATTGGTCCCAACAACATCATCTACACCTGCAGCAACTTCGGCACTGGCAAGCCTTCGACACCCGGCGTGGTGAGAGCCTTTGGGCTCCAATTGGGAAACCTAATCTGGGAGCACGTGCTCTCGGAACCCTGCTGCACCTTCCCAGCAGTGGGACATGTGAAGGGTTCAGATGCTCTCGCAGTGGTGGTAACTCCTGGAGCCTTTCCTGGTAGCATTCACGAGGAAGGCAGCGTGGTGGCTTTGAATGCCGAGACTGGGGACATGTTGTGGAAATTCCATGCGGCACCGTACAACTTGCCTTTTGCTGCCGGAGACGATAAGCGCACTGTGCATCTTGACATCCACGGGCCCTCGCCACGCCTCATTCGCCAGATCTGCATTCCGCCGCATTGGAGTGCTCCTGCTATCACCGGTGACGGCACCGTCTACGTCGGGCGGATGGACGGAAACCTCTATGTAGTGCATGGCGCCCTGGCGGGAGACGAAGTGGGGGAGCTCACGAAGGACCCCGAGACCGGCGTCCACGCCCAAGTCTTGAAGGTTGGCAGTGCCCCGATACACGGTGCGCTGGGCTTTGCCGACGGTCTCTTGGGTTATGCTACCTGCGACTCACTTTATGTATGGCACGAGTGAGCACACGGTATCTCTGACACTTGCTGGCAAGGATGTAGATGTCCATTTGCGCAGAAGTGCAGCAGCACCGCGTGTGCCCGCTGTTGAAAAGAAGCCATCTTGCCAGTTTGTTGCCAATTTTAGCTGCAGGAGCAACAGGACGAGACGTTTCTAACTCTTGAACTGGAGCGTTGTAATATGCTTCATCTCATGGTCTTGGGAGCCTACCAGCATCAGGGCACGGCAGTCTCTAGTTGTGGGGGCATGCGGTTTCGTTGATGATCTGCACATGTTTTATGGTGTTTGTGATGGCAAATGCGCGGAACCTGTCGCACCCAATTTGAAGATCTTGCGAATCTAGTTCGGGCCAGATTGGGTGTGGCCTGCATTGACATGGCTCAGTGGTACTACTCTCCCATGCCCAAATACCTGTTATGAAGAGGATTACTGTCTGTGCCCGGGTGGGTCTAAGCCGCATCCTGTGTTGCTGTGAGGGACAGGGCTTCCCACTGCGAACTCGTCACCGATGCGGCACAGAATAGAGCCTCCATCTCACTGTCTACAGGCTCTCGAAAGCTTGCTTCTAATGGCTCGATAGTGCAGGAAATGCTGTTCTTATGGTTGCAGTTGTTATTGTTGTTATGATTGTCCGTATCATTATGATGATTATGACTATTGGTACAACAGTACTATTGATATTCTCATTCTTGTTACTGCTATTATTCTTATTATTGTTATTATTAGTATTATGATTATTCTTGTTGTTAATACATTTTTACGGTTATTACCATTAATAGATATCTTCACTATTATTGTTATCTTCGTTCTCATTAATATTATCGTTATTACCGAACCTCAGACACTGCGTTGCAAAGGAGTCTTGGCTGGTGCGAAGGAGCTCTTCTTCAAATATGTGCCTTGTCACAGGGACTCCGCTAGAAGGGTTTGGGATTTAAGGTAGCGGTGTAGATCTGAGGATTTCGAAGGCATGCTTAAAGGATCGTATATCTGAGGAAAGAGAACTGACTCAGTTTGTTCTACTTCCTCGGGCAGTTTTCACGGCATTTTGCTAGATAGAAACGTCAGACCGCGCCAGAAATTGGGGGGTTTCCAGGAACTTGGGCTGTCATCTCCCAAAAACCTTCGCACAGGAGTTTGAAACATCAGGAGTGCACTTCTGCCGTTGTCGTTCTGCTGCTATTCCAGAGCACGTGCCCCGAAACCGTATTCTACGTGCTCCGATCCGGTGTAGAATTTGCTTGAGCTGACCGGTACTGCTTGTGTGGCCGTTCTTGTTCTTGGGCTTCTCCTTTGAAGACAGTCGATCACTTTCCGAATTTGAGCCAGCCTGTGGCCTTTTACAGGAGGTTCGTTCCGTAGCCACGAATTCCAAGAACCACCCGAAAGCCTAAGCCTAAGCCTTAAACCGCAAGCTCCAAGGCCAATTGCCAGAGCATTTGGGTCGAGGTTGCGCTGAAGCTGGTGGTGGTGGGCATCGTCGCGGTCCCTGTGGCAGCGGCCCTGCCGCAGCTTTAGCTCTGGGATCGGGTATTCAGCGAAAGGTTTCCTTTCGAGGATGAGATTTCAGGATATAGAGATTGGGTCTGGAGGAGGATCTTCACCGGATGTGCGACATCGGAGGGAGCACTAGCTCAATGTTTTCGCACTTGGGAATTTAATGAAACAGCGCAGTGTGCTGCCAGAACTTGAGAAGTGTGTAGTGTACCCGAAGCACTCCACCAAGGCGAAGCCCTGAAGGCTTGACAACGGAGCATGGCAGCAAGGATAAAAACGGGCCTGAACGCTGCACAGAGCCGATTCGCCAATTCGCAGAAGCTCCTGCAGCTGTCATGTGAGTGCCTTGTACACAGTACATGTGTCCTGCGGAAAGGTGAAAAGCTCACAAGCCCAGTACAAGGATCCAAGAAGAAAGGCCCTCAATACAGTCAATACATGGAAGACCGATTTGTGATTGTGCTGGCTCAACTTGGTTTGTCTTCAAGACCTGCAGTGCCTGTGCGGGATGTCAAGTCCAGTAAGTTTAGTGCTCCAGACTCACATCACCCAAAGAGCGTAACCTTTCTGCTAATCGGGTTTCGGGTGTTTCGCCTAAGTGTGGAATCCGCTTCGAGCTTGAACTTGTTGGTGTTTTTCATGCAACACTTCCACGCAGCATCACACAGCATACGACTTCATGTAGCATCGCGGATGGGACGCTTTCCAGTAGAAGATGTTGGTATTCCCAACATGATGGATGGGCATTGTGGTCGTATCGATCGAGTCCGTCTGGTCCTCCTGGGCCAGATGATCTTGCACAGGGTTGCAGGCAGGGCCACAGCTGCCCGTCACTGATGCTTGGTTTCAAGGAATAGGCAGTAAGTTCCAAGTTTGACATGTCCGCCAAGCACCGGGGAATAGGCGGCAGGTACCAAGCTTGACACGCTTAAGACAAGCCTCTGTGGCCCAGAATTGCTTTCCGACTTCAGGCGGCAGAGTATCCTCGACTTTCCATCAACTGTTCGGATCGCCTCGCCCCTTCAGCATAGTTTCGCTCTATGTACAGTCCATATTATGTACGTACAGCAGACCATGAGTGCAGGGAGTTCTTCTTGGAGTGCTTGGAAACACGCTAAGAAATCAGGACCTGCTGCCTTCGCACAAGACAGTTGCAGCTGCGTAGCCTGCCCCTTTCAGTTGGCCTGACACGCTTCCGGGCGTGTGATTTTTTTTCCGGACATGCTTCAGTGCCATGAAAGCAGGCGCATAACCGCGGCACAGCAATTCCCTGTCGCGTGTTCTCCTTCCTTGGTGTCAGGGCCCGGGCCTCATTGGAAATCTTGACACCAATGGCCTGTCGGCCGCAGCCTCGGCGAAGCATCCCCCTCTTCTGCTACACGACATGAAGCGGGGGCCTTCCCAAGCGCAACAATGCAGTACCCCCCAGGCCTAATAAATGTAGGATGGGGTAGAAATTGTAACCTAAATTCTCTACCTCCCACCTTTCTAAGTGATTCTAAGTTCGGCGGGGTGAAACTGAAACTTCAGATATTGAAACGTCTACGAAGTGTCTAGTCGAAGATTGCATGTTTTTCGCTCCCACTGAGGGTGATTTTTTTCCGGACATGCTTGAGTGCCATTATGGCAGGCGCATCCGTCCTTGGTGTCAGGGCCCGGGCCTCATTGGAAATCTTGACGCCAATGGCCTGTCGGTCCCTTTTCGCGGTCCCGCGGCCCTCGGGGCTCCCGTTCAGCCTTGGCCATGGCTGTGTCGGGGTCGTAGCCCCGTGTTTGCGCTCCGAGAAGTTGGCGAATCCAGAGGCACTTGGCGCAACACCACAGCAGCTCTAATGCACTTCTTCGCTGCCGCCGCAGCCTGCGCAAAGCCGAACAGCTGCGAATTCGTCAGCCGCCTCAATGCCGCCGCCTTCGTCTGGCCCGACAGCCCAGAGCCAATAGTGGAAGCATCTGGAGCAGAGAGGTCTTGGAGGCGAGTGGGGCCGGGCGCATAACCGCGGCACAGCAAATCCCTGTCGCGTGTTCTCCTTCCTTGGTATCTGGGCCCGGGCCCCATTGGAAATCTTGACGCCAATGGCATGTAAGAGGATGTGACTGGAGTCTGGCGAGCTTGCGGCATCTTGCGGCTAAGTGTCTAGGCTGTTTAGGGGTTTAGGGTTCGAGAGTTAAGACTTTCCAGGCATGTCACCAACACACCGCATCGAAATCTGCGCACGCCAGTCGGGGGTCAGAGTTTAGGGTCTAGGGTTTAGGGTCAGCACAAAGCAGCTGTCTCTGAGACGAAGTTGAAAGGCTCAGCAGCCTTGGCGCAGTCTCTTGCCGCCTTGGCGCCGTCGCCCAAACTGATCAGTCACATGCTGCCCATTCTACCCATTCTGCCCATTCTGTGCCATTCTGTGCCATTCTGTGCCTGCGCAGCTGCGCAGAGACGCGGCGATGGACTCTTGGCCGATCGAGTTTTGCCTTGCAGGTCATGCCTACAGGGCGCTCTGTGAAGTTTCCTGAAGCCTCCCAAATGTGACTGGTAGCATCTGCACCGAATGTGGGGGGTGGTCGTTACATCTGCGAGCCTTGCATGCAGTAACTCATGCAGGAGCCGTCTACCATCGCCCTGATGCTGTTTGACAGGACTTCTCAGGCAAGGTGGGTGTGATTCCCCCGCGCCTCAGAAGCCCCTGGTCGAAAGCCGGACTCTGTCATGCTGTTCATGCTTCGGTCTCGCAAGGCGCCTGGGAGTTCCCATTGACGGAGCCTTGTGATGTCAGCGAGGGACGCCTGAGGTTGTCTTGCGACTTGTGGGGCTGCCGCTGCCGCCCCGGCAGTCAAGCCTCAACGGTCAAAGTTAGGAAGTGTAAGTGAAGAGTGTTCCGGAGCCCGCACGGGAACATGCGAACCCGTGGGCTCCTTCCACGCCTGCGCCCGCAAGAGGATGCTTCGCGACCTGTCAGTGACTCAGGCATACTGCTGCTGGGATTTGCCTCTATGCAGACTTCAGCGCGGATGTCCAAAGCAAGGTACCAAAAGGCACTTCTTCAGGCTCTTGTTCTTGCTGTCAGCCATGAGTCTGTCAAGTCTATACGCTATACCCTCACCTGTGCCCACAAGCCTCCCTTGCGATCGCGGATGAGGCTCAAGGTGAAATCGACCCAAACAGGTGGACACACAGTCTATCTATACCAGAGTATGATTGTCGACAGTCTCTTGTAGTCTTGTTGTAATCATGTTACACAAGAGTTGCAAACTGTATGTACTAGCACTCCAAGCCCAAAGCACAGAACATCTGATGCTCGGCTTTGTTCTTTGCTGGAGGACGGAGGCTTCGCTAAGGTTAAGAGGTATGGGCACTGAGATCGTGGCCTTTACGAATTTCACAGACTGGGCTCCGTAGCTTTGCGAGTTGCGAGGCCTATCGCGTAGCAGCGCATCTTGTAGGTGGCAAAATTTGGCTAAGATTGTGGATTGGGGTTGGGAGCCGCGTAGGGTAAAGGAAGAGGTACAGGGCCACCAAGTCCGGCAATGATGCAGGGTTATGGAGTTGATAGGTGACGGAAACAATCTGGGGTGGCTCAGAAGCGTGCGCCGACAGGAAAACCATCTCGAGCCCAAGCCCTGGATCCTAAACGCTCAACACTAAGCCGCCTACGCCCTAAAACCTAAACCCTAAAAAACCCTAAGCCACCTAAACCTTAAAACTTGAAAAACTCAAGATCCTAAGCCGCCAAAACCCTAAAAGCCAAACCACAAAAACCCTGAAACCCCAAACTTACACCGCAAAGCCTAAACAAACCCCCAAAGAAGCGCCGTGCAGATTGCCGCGAGTCCCTCTCCCTTCGCCTCTTCGAGGTGCCTGGAGTGGTCGGAGCTTCGGGGCCTTAAAGACCTAAAAACCCTGAAAAAACCCTAAACCTTTAGGGTTTAGGGATCTTCGGGGCTTTAAATCTCAGGGTCGTATAAGGATTACTTTGAGGGTTTTCGGGCTCTAAGCTGCGATCTACAAAAACTCGCAAGAGCTGGGCGTCTCGACGTCGTTGTTAGTTTTGTTGGACCGCCAGTTTGTTAGTTGGAACATGGATTTAGGATGATTAGTGGCGGAATTCCCTCTTTTCTACAATGGGGGCATGAGGACAGTGATGTTCCAGCTTTCTGCCCTCTACTTTAGGGTATAGTCTTTAGACTACTTTTGAGGATTAGGGATTGGGGTTTAGGTTGTATAGGTCGGTGATCTCTCTGCTTGGGGTTTCTGTTTTCAGGGGCTTTTTTCAGGAGGCAGTATCAGGAACAGATAAAGAGGCCGCCAGTCTGTTTAGGGTTTAGGGTTTAGACGTCAGAGGAGAGACTCTGGGGTCCGGGTTTGGTGTTCACGGGCGCATGGAGCGTCGGCCACGCTATGTTCGCCGGCAAGTGTTGAACCTCGAAAGGTTTAGGGGTCTGGGGTTATATGCTGCGATATTAGCAGAACTTGTAGAGATTGGGCCTCTCGACGTTTATGTAAGGTTTTTGTTTGTATATAGGGGCAGTTGATAGGTATTGCATGCTAGGGCAAAATTCGGGCAAGCCTCCCCGGCCCAAGATCCTTCAGCACGCTTCGGCCTCACATCGCACTCTCGGTCGTTGCAGCCCATGCTCAGTTTTGGCCAAGGCTACCCAAATCCTCAAACTTCCACCCCCACCATCGGCGTCGAGGGATCCAGCGCCGGAGCCCAAAAACCCTCGCAGATTTGGCAAACAAACCCTAAAGGTTGACGCCGTAAACCCCACCCAAAATCCCTAAACCCTACAAGCTCTTCAGAATCCCTAAACCCTTGAACCCCACACCCTAAACCTGGCAGGCTGCCAGCGCGCAGTGGCAGGACTTGCAGCAAGGAGGTGCTGTGCAGCTCAACGTGGAGACGTTGAGCTTTATCTGAGCAAGAGTCCAGCGGAGGGTCGCATTCAAGCTCAAGGAGTGTGGTAGGTAGCAGGTAGCTCTTGCGGATGGCCTGTGTCACTGCTTCTGATGGAAATCTGTCCAGCCATGCGGGACTGCCTTGAAAAGCCTATTCTCACTCCTTCGCTTGAAACTGTATAACTCGCTGGAACGGTTCACATTCCTGGCTTTGCGAGGCACCGAGACAAAAGAAACGGTGTCTAACGCCCCAGCCTGATGAAGAGGCCTGAATACTCCTCAATATCATTCGTCCGTGTCGCTTGCTCGTGAAGGTTATAATATCTAATGAATCTAATGTATACTATATAGGATATGTTTTATGAGTAATAACATATGAGATGTATGTAATACACAAGCTCCTTGTCAGGTCTCTTTGCGAGTCTGCTCGCCGAGTGGCAGATTTCCTCTGTCCACTTGTCGCCTGGGCGCTCCGCAGTCTCGTGCCGTTTCACCTCTTGAATTCACGGTGCCTTCGGTGCGCGCTCGACAGGACTTTGCGCAGCCTGAGAAGAGAAAACTTTTCGACATCGGGTTCTGGATTTCGTAAAACATGTCAACTTCAAGCAAAAGGGGCGTAGCATCTCTCCTTATGCCTCCCTACCAGTAGCTGCCTTAGGAAGTCGTCATCTCCCGGCCCAGCCCCAGCCCCCACTCATTCATCGGGTTTTCACGCCCAAAAGTCTGCCATGAATGGATCACAGGGTGACGGGCTTTGCAGTGCAGGAAACGTAGGGATGAAGGGTTGGGCCGCAAGGGTCCGATTGAAGGCTGCCGCTGGCTGGGATGCTCGAAGTTCATGCCTGTAATGACAAGGATGATGCTGCAGTGTCCGCAGGTTTCGGCCTAGCCGAGTCCGTCTGCAAACTTCTTGCCGACCCTAACGCCTGAACCTGAACTCGAAACTAGGGGAATCCACCAGAGACCACACGCCCTTTTTCTTGGGCCTGCAGTGCCTCCACTGGGATCTAGCACATCCTCCAAGTCTCAATCTGGGCCATTGAAGGGTCACTTCATACTTCGCTCCCATGGCGGGTTTCCTTGTGCTCTGCTGGCTTTGGCTGTTGGGCGTCGCTGCTGGGAGCTCAGCGGCCAGGGAAGCGAAGGATTGGAGAGGTCTTGGCTCTTGGTTCAGGTGCGGTTTACGAGGACCTAAGCACTCGGTGCATCGCATTGTGGGAACTGCTGACCTTGAGAGGGACAGGACCGAGACGCTGTGATAAAGCCGCAGATCCTTCTTGCAACCCTTTGCGGAGCCCTAGGACCTGCAATTGGCGCATGTTGAAGTTTCTTAGGTCATTGGAACCTGAGATCACTTTCGCCGTGTGAACGCTCACGTCTTCGCATGTCTAGCACTGCTGCTGTGTGCAGCCAGACGTCGGGCAAGTGCCAGTACACCAAAACAACCTGAAAATGCCAGGGGAGCTCCTCCAAAGAGGTCTTTGCTTCCTATGAGATACACAAAACCCTTCAAACCATAAATGATGTTCTCCAAACCCCTCAACCACAACAGCAAACACCTAAACCCTAAACCCAAAGAATCCCCAAAGAATCCCATTCAAGTTCTCACCCCGGAATTCCTGAAGCTTCGGAGTCCGACGGCCGCCCGGCCCGAGTTGATAGTCAAGTAGTCAAGATATCAAGGCAAAGTATGGCCCTTCTATTATGGCACATTCTCTGTCACATTGTCACTCCACCAGTTAGGTCTCGACTTTGCGACAAGTGCATCAGTATACATGTGGGCAGACCCCCTAAACGCTAAAGCCTAAATCCCTGAGGTTCGACATGAACCGTCGGAGGCAAGTCTCCATCTCGACGCAGAGGCGCGGCGATCTCTTGCAGAGCTTTACCTCTGAAGGTTTTTGCGTGTCAGCAGAAGGCTTCTTTTCGGTCCATCGGCTTGCTGTCAGTTGCCAAGGCAGGCATGTGAGGGAACAGAATCTGCGCGAAACTAAGCAGGAGGAGTCTGACCAAGCTTCGATACCCAATCCTGTAAAGCCTATCCTCAAAGCCATCATCAGCCCCAGACCATCAATGTTCAGCCCTGCAAGCTTCGAAGTCCGAAGCTCCGAAGTCGCAAACCCCGCATGCTGGCAGGTGTCGGATGTCACCGCTTGCCCCCCGTCTCTGAGACTTTGAGGAGTGTGCGATTGGCGTGGGCATGCTGTGCCGTACGGCCGTACAGTAGTAATCAGTAGTCCTGATGGATTGATGAGGCTTCAGCTACTGTTCAGAATCGCATGAACGGCAGCATGGCAAGTCGTTGGCTCGCATCACCAAGGATTTGCAAAAAGCCAAGCGATCTAGTCTGATCAGCATTCAGCATTAGCATTCTGTACATCCCTAAACCCCATAACCCTAAACCCTTGTAGTAATCCTGGTGAGGCCTAAACCCTGAACCCAAAACTCCTAACTGTTCTGCAGTTCGAAAAGGGCCCGTAAAAAAAAAAAAAAACTTGCATTCCTTTGCCGCCTGCTTTTTTAGTATTAATAAGTTCGTCTCGTTGAGGTCCCGACGCCGCCTTGCTCCACACGATTTTTCAGAAGCTGGGCATTGACGTGCCGCTGGGCCAGGTTCTTCAAGATGCATAAGGTGTGTGGCTTTTGCTGACGTAAAGTTTTGAAATGGAAAGAAGACATGCTCCCTCATTGGTGGGCTTCTGTCGTCGAAAGGGGTTTCAAGGGCAGGGGTGTTTCGGTCTACGCTTGTAGGATTGAACACTTCGAGGCTTCGAGCCAGGGCCGTCAGTCAGGCCCTTCCTGGCTGAGGCGTGATTTTCCGGGGAGCTATTGTGGATGGGATGGCGTGCGGTGCCACTCTGACGAGTGCAGGGTGAAGAGGCTCGATCTCGGCAATCGGAACTTGACAGGACTGTTGCTCCCGCTGCTAAGACCACCTAAGACCTCCATGCTAGCATGCTCTGGGTTGCGTGGCGGCAGTTTTGGATGCTGACAGGACGGCTGCCAGCCGAAATCGGTGGCTTCGCAGATTTGGAGACATTGCTGCTGAGCAAGAACCCGAACCTCACTGGCGAACTGTCCATCCTAGCCAAGCTGGTGCACCTGAAGGAACTCGATTTGAGCTCTACCCGGATTGGAGGGCATCTGAGCTTCTTGAGCCGGATGGACCAGATGCAGGAACTCAATCTCGGAGGCACCCAGATCGAGGGCAAGCTGCAGCCCCTGGCAAAGATGATGAACATGACCCGTCTGCGGCTTCAGAACACCCGGGTCGACGGGGATCTCGTCCCCCTGACGGCCATGCAGAAGATGCGATTGCTCAGTCTCGGAGGCACCCATATCGATGGCACGCTGGATAGCCTGGCAAAGATGACCGTGATGACCAATCTGCAGCTCTACGACACCCGCATCGGCGGGAATCTCGTGCCCCTGGCTTCCATGCACAAGATGCGAATACTCAGTCTCAAAAACACGCAGGTGGAGGGCCAGCTGCAGCCCCTGGAAAAGATGACCCACGTCACCATTCTGCGGCTCCAGAACACCAGCGTCGGCGGAGATTTGGTGCCCCTATCTGCCATCGAAAGGATGCAGGTTCTTTATCTCGCAAGCACGCAGATCAAGGGCACCCTGCAGCCCCTGGCAAATATGAAACGCATGGCAAAGCTGTCGCTCCAGAAGACCCGGGTCGGCGGGGAGCTTCGGCTGCTGCAGGCCGGGGCTGGCCTACTCGGCAAGCTTTTAAGGTTTCCTTTCCTCGTGGGTGCCTTCATGTGCACCAGGCGATGCGGAAGCTCCGTGAGCTGCGGCTCCAGGGCACCCGGGTCTCAGGCTCCCTGGACGTCCTGACGGAGTTTACAGATCTGGAAGAGGCCGACCTCGCATCGACTGCCGTGACCGGAGGCGGCAGCTCAAACTTCCTATTCCCGCCTAGGCACCCTGAAAGTTGCGTCCTGTGTTTTTCTGCTCCTCGGTGCACAGCCTTTGTCCTGAATTGTCCTTCAGAATCTTCGCCAAATAGGAAGGAGAATTTCTCGAAGAGACATGATGGGAATCTTTGTTCCCCTGTCTGACAGGAAAGAGCCCCACCGCCCCCTCCCCGTAAATTGAAGTTAATTGAAATCCAACAAGACAGTCGCCAATCGCACTTTGTCAGAGTTTGAGGTTAAGGGCACAGTCTTTGAGGTTGCGAATGCTGCGTCGGATGCTGACGAACATTCAAGCAACATCCGCCAGCACAGCGTTATGCTCTCGACGCCTCAAAATTATCGAATATCACGCTTCGGCATGAGCTGCAAAACACTAGATTGAAGTTCCGTGAAGAGTCTCTTCCTGCGAGAGGGAGGCTGCCCAAGCATGTGGGAGACAAAGTTCAGGGCGGCAAACGTCAGGAAGTTGTATGTATTCGACTCAGGGATGTCCAAGGGCATGCCTCGTTGACGTATGTGCCATCATTTACATGATGTTTTGTGGCAGCCGTGCAAACAAGATGTCGTTCTTCGGATTTCGTGGGCCTTGTCCGTGGACTAAGGCTAAGGGAACGTTGGTTATTCAAACCTGCATGTCGTTTGACAATCTCGACAGTTTGCAAAGGGTATTGCCTGCAATGCTCAGAACTTGGCACGAGTTGAACACTAGAAAAGAGAGGCCGTGTTGTTGCCTGGAGCTCAGCTCGTCGCCTCCAACGAGAAGAGCACTCCGGCCGTTGAGCGCGAACAACTTCCGAGCGAACTTGGGGCCTTTCCAACCCCCCAGTGTGGTGTCGAGAGAGGGAGGTTGCGGCCTTAATTACTCCTCACTCACTCGCTCACTCACTGACTAATTCACTCACTCACTCCCTCCCTCCCTCGCTCCCTCGCTCACCCGCTCAATCACTCACTGCACTCAGAGGTCCCAAGGGCCATGCTCGTGCGTGGGTGTGAGCGAAAATGCTGGGCATGGAAGCTCTGGGTGAAAAGTGAACCAATGCAAATGTCTTCAATGGTGGCGCATGAGGGGAACTACACCCGACCTGGGAGCCAAGCACTGAATAAAAGCCATTCTGTTCATTATGGAGTGACAGCGCTACCTGCAAGGTTTCGGTAAGATCCTCAGCGGCCTGCTCAACAACTATTTGCTGCATATCATATACATCTTCGACAAGTCTCCGCTCCTCTCTGCGCACTTCCGGACATGCATCCCGCAGCAGCAGATCTGAAAGCAGCGCCTCAAGTGAAACGCGAAAAAATGAAGTCAGCAGCTGCGTGCACTTTCAAAGAGGGCCGGGCTGCACGATACTGGTAGCTGCAAGAATCCTTAAAGCATCGAGTGTGATGGCAACCGGAGGTCTGACGCCGCACTGGCGTGGACACCTGCAGCACTTGCGACGCCTAATCCTCGCAGCTCCGCCCTTGGTCCAAGGGTCAGGTGTCATGCTGGGATGTGGTGGGCTCCGCCCATCGCTTCTGTTCAGGCAAGCGCTGCCCACTTCCTGCCCCGCAGCGACGACTTGTCGGACCTCCGCCGCCTTGTCACGGATGCGCTGCTGCCTGCCTTGGCCGAGCTGGATGCTGCTTGCCTGTCACTGTGTTAGAGCAGTTCGCCTCCTGCAATGCCCTGGTCTGTTGTTGCCTCAGCCAATTTGCGCCTGATTGTTTTCCTTGACCCAGAAGTATCGAATGTCACTGCAGTTCCGTGCGGTTGAAGGTGTCCGGCTGTCCCATGAATGGTGATGTGATGGACTTCATTTTGCCCCTGGCAGACTGCAAGTCGCTGGCCAAAGTTGTCGCTTCGTATGCCAATCTGACAGGTGACGTTCTGGACCTGACATGGTTGCCCGTGGAGATAGATGGTGAGAGCTACGCGGGAGCTATCGTACCCTTGGAGGGCTCTCTGCAGGCCTTGGACCTGTCAGGAAACAGGATCCGGCGGGTTGAGGCCCTCAATGCCCACAGCGTGCTATCGTTGGCTGGCAATGGGAAAGTAGACGTGCCACATGGCTTGCTGCGCAAAGCAATGGAAGACGGCGTCCGACTGGACCTGACAGACGTTGCCCTTGTGGATGTCAACGAGACTAAGGAGCTCATTGCGAAAGGATGGCTCAACGCCACAGAGCGCCTCACTACGACAGATGCTGCAAGAGGGTTTGCATGCTACGGGCTGCCGAATGCAATCCTGCAAGTTACACCCTTCCGCTTCTTGCCAGACGTCCTTTGCGGCTGCCAACCGGGCTGGCACGGAACGAGCACCGACTGTCACCGCTGCAGCGAGAACCACTACAATACAAGGTTCAACCAGAGCGACTGCCAGAAGTGTCCTTCAGGCAGCAGCACACGAGGTTCGGAGGGCTCAGACTCCTTGCAAAGCTGCCAGTGCGAAGTTGGAAGGACCCGGGTTGGGAGGGTCTAGAGCCTAGCACCTCGGGTAAGCTCAAACTCGGCGCTCAGAAAGAGTTCTTCCCATGTTGTTTTTTTTCGGTCTCTGTGTTTTCCTGCCCAGGATCTACGGCGACTCCTGCCGGTGCGAGCCCCACAAGGCCCTCCACTCGGATCAGTGCGTGGACTGCGGCGACCTGAAGCTGGACAGGGCATCTCACCCCAAACCCGAAACCCAAAATCCTAAACAGTACACCCCGATGGGAGGCTTCAGCTTCCGGGGTTGACGCCAGGGACCATCGTCACCTCGAACTCATCCTTGCACTGCTTCTCCCATGTTCTCTCTGGCTTCAAAGATCTTTGTCGCTTCTCCACCTTTGGCAGACCATATCGCAGATTGCCCAGAGGCGTCATGTTTTGAGCAGACGGCAGTCCTCTCAGAGGGCTCTGCTTCGCAGGACTGCGAGGGCCCCGGAAGCCTGGCGACCACAGCACCGCCAACTCTCGGGCACGCGCGCCTCTACGCCGGAGCGCCCACTGCCAAGAAGTGGCTTGCAAAGAATTATGCAGCAAACTGCCGGTGATTTGCCGGGCATACAAGCTACTTCAGGCCGTGCAGGATGATGGAAGTAGGTCTGAAATTCCGGATGGGTTTGTTGGGAGCCTGGCACTGCCAAGGAATCAATCGTAGCCGTGTGAGATCACCGCCAGAGCTTCGCCAAGTCCACACATTCTCTAAACTCTAAACTTGCCGCAGGAATGAATGTGATACCAGGTGACTTATTGTGAAAATTCCGCAAAGTGTGTCTCCTGGGCCTCAGCCTCGCTGGTGCAGGTGCCTGGATCCCGCAGAGGAGCGCTGCAACGCGTCAGCGAATGGTTCGGAGCTCGGGTGCGTGCTCGGCTGCTCGGCAAAGTGCGACGCAGGGGGCTTGGCACCACCGCAACTCCCCCCAAAGCGGCAACCCAACGAAATAAGAAACTTGGCCACCTACATCTCTTCTCTTTGGGGCTTTTGGAGTTGCAAATAAGACATAGCCAAAAGGTTGGGTGGCATTTGTTGCTTAGGTAGAAGGCAATGCAGCTTGTTGGATGCTCTTGTGTTATCCAGCTGACGTAGCCCCTGCACTTCTTACCGAATCGTTTCGTGTACGGTGATTGCACTGTATATCACTGCTGTTCCCCCTTGCGGCCAAGCCCTAGCAAACCACTAGGTTCTCAGTTTAAGTGTCGGCCGCTTTTGTTGAGGCTACGAGGGGCCCCTTTGTGCCGCCTGCGCCGACAGATACCGCAGCCAGGGCCGGCGCTGCAAGAAGTGCGAGGACAGGTTAGGTATTCAAAGTAGTCCGCTTGAAAATTAGAAGTGCGATTTGATGAGGGCGCACACATCGTCTAACTTTTCGAGGGCAGTACCCCGAATGCTATGGTAGTCGAGAGGAAGGCTACGAAGCGGCCCGGTGGCCCATCGCGCTCGCTGCGGCCACAGCGGCGGCTGGAGGCTCCGCCTTCTTCGCCTGGTGGAGGTGCGCAGACTGGATTATGCAAACAAGTTATCATGACATGCCTGCGCGCTGGTGATCAGCAGAAGAACATGTTGAAACCGATCTTTGTGGTCGTAGTCATGCAATCGCCGGCCATCTTCGGCCGCTGCACAAGCCCTGACCAGCTGAGGAGCCGCCCAGCAGATGTCCCGGCAGCAGCAACTGCAGCAGCTCCTACACCCTACACTGCATCCCGGCAGCCAAGATGGTGAGTAGTGTCCAGAGCTGAGAAAGAGAAGGTTTGGAGAACGACTGTAAAAGTCCGTGGCAGCTTCCATTGGGAAGGGAATGCAAGTTTGAAGAACCGAAGACGTTAATCCCCGCAGCTCCGTGCTTGAGGCTCTCTGGCCGCTGCTGTTGGCGCAAGGCCCCGTGCTGCTGCAATTTCTCCAGCTCTGGGGCGTGCTCGTGGCTCTGAGCAAGAAGAGCACTGGCGAGACCACCGCGCAGACGTGGGACCAGGCCCACACTGGGGCCGTAGACAGTACTCCGACTCCTAACCATGGCAAGTGCATTCGGCTGAGGAAAAGTGTGATTGGCAAGCCACGGCAGCCCTTCCAGGAGTATATTCAGTGGCTGCAGCTGACAGCGGGCGGCGTCCGGGACGCCTTGAGCTTGGAATGCGAGTACGGAAGGCCGCAATGCAACAGTCCTTGGCAGCTTATTTCCTCGAATCAGAACCGCATGTCGATTCGTAAAGATCCCCCTCGACGGCGCCAGGAACGCCCGCCTGGCTTGTGCTCTGCTGGGACCGGTGCTGCCCTTGCTGCTTTTGGCCGCCTGTGCCATCCTGGAAGCCTTTTTGCGAGGTCGAGGTGGGGCATGCAACTGTTGCTACAATCGCTTTCTCTGGTAGTTGGGGCATCATACCGGAAATCATCCAAGCACCTTCGTCAGGGTTTTGTGCACCCGGAAGCTTGAAGGTTATCGTAGGCAGTATAGCCACGGTATTTCTGTTTCCGCTACATGTGCGAATTCCATTATAAACGCGTACTCTGCTAGTCACTGTTGCTGCTACTTGTATCAATCCCATTATATAGATTTTCCGTTGAATTGCTCTTGCCAATCATACTATGAGCATTATCCGTATCATCACCGTTCCGAGTACAATACCAGCAAGAATACCAGTAGATGCTGGGAGTATTGTTAGTAGTGCGGCGACGACTGCTACAGTCTGGCGCAGCCCACCGAGATCCGAATTGCAATCTTTTCACTCTGCACGGCAGTCTCGCAAATGGTCGGAAGAAGAAGGGCAGGGACTAGAATCTGAAGGATTGGAAGGAAGCTTCGGTGTGGCATTGGAAAGACGGGTGCTCGCCAGGTGTAAGCATGGCGCTGCAAGTGTTGTCCCTGGCCTTCATTGGCGGAGCCTCGAGCTGTGCAGGGCTCCTGCGGTGTCAGGAGCTCGATGGAGGTCGGCAAGCAGCCCGAAGTTTCTGCAGCTTGCGGTTTGGAGAGTTCGGGGCGGTTAGGGTTTACAGTAGTTTGAATTGAAGGGGTATTCATGCAGCGAGCTGGTCAGTGTAAGTGCCGGGCCGTCTTCAGCACAAACTGTAGCTGATGAGCCACAGCATCAACTGTGAACACGTCCGCCGTTCGGATGCACGGGCTCCAGTCTTGAATGTTTTAGGTCGCCTTCGTGCGGCGCCATGTCGTGTTCCGGCTTGGGTGGGGGGATTGCCAACTAGCGACACACTTGCTAAGTAGTTTTCGGTGCCGATGCCGGCTCTTCGTTCACCGTCTAGCAAAAGCTCATCTCGACGGAGACGGGTTGCTTGGTTGGCATGGCGTGCAGAGCGGCATGTTGCTGTGCCTTCGGACAAAGTGTGGCTGCTAGAACGCTTGCGTGTCGCTGCAAAGAGCAACACCGGGGAGTTGGGAAGATTCCTTTCAGGTGCAAAGTCAACATGCAAGACCGGCAGGCAGCGGGATCTGTTTCCCTTGGGAGACGTCCACGGAATGGATTTCAAGCCTGTAGACATGTCGACTTTGCGGTGGTCGGTGTTCCGAAACTTTGTTAACTTGGTCATTGCTTGTTTGAACTGGATGTACGGGGTCAAGCCGTCGACGGCTTATCCTAGCAGACACACAGCTTCGCAGACAGTGGTTGTGACATCTTTGGTGGCTAAAGCAAAATCGATGCTGGACCGCTTACAGACAGTCGACGAAGGTTCTTGGCAAAAGTTTCTACCTGATTATGTGTTGTCTGCAAACCCTTCGGAGCCGCGCTTTCGGGACTTGGAAGCAGACAAAGTGGATAACTTGCACCGGGCTGGTTGTTGTGATCCGACTTCACACCTGCCGCTGGATATGCAGGCAATCATCAGCGACTCTGCCAGGATGTTCGCAAAAGCTCCCGTCGCGCTTGAGATCTTCGACGCTTTTTCGGCTGGCCGGAGAGAGGAATACGTGAAGCTGATCATAAAGCAGTTGAGATCTGGCAAGTTGGGCCTTTCTTCTAGTTGCAAAGGCGGAGGCACTTCCATGGCAGTGGGCAAGCCGGGTGGCGATCGTCTGAGGGAGGTGTGGCATGGCCAACGCGTTTCGCAAGCCGCCGTCACCCCGCCTAAACCGAGGCTTTTAGCATCTCCGACTGCGCTCACCTTCCTTGAGACATCTCCTGACCGGCCTGTTCGAGTGAGCAAACGTGATGCCTCCTGCTGGTTTGACCAACTGCGGTTGCCTGAGCAGCTGCGGGAGTTCATGGCAAAGCCCCCAGTCTCAACTGACGAGCTTGAAGCGGCTGGAATGTCCGTTTCGGAGCAGCAAAGCCTGTTGCAGGATGGCCAATGCTGGCAGAAAGGCAGACTTTATCCTGTGCATTGTGTGTGGCCTATGGGTTTCTCATGGTCGTCATACATTGCCCAGGAAGAGATTTTGGATCTTTGCAAACACGCCGGCTTTGAACAAGACAGCTTTCTGGCATGTGATTGCCCGACCCCTTCATCCTTCGATCTGACGGCAGCTGCTGCGACTGATGACGTGATGATTTTCAGCGTGGCCGGTGCAGGGGTGACGTCGCAGGCCGCTGCTCGCCTGGATGATGCTTTCACTTCGCGCGGTGCTGTGCGCAATGCCAAAAAGGATGTAAACGATGCACTGTGCGCCACATGTGTCGGTGTGGACCTGGTCGAAGGTTTCTTCCTCGACATCCCCGCGGCAAGATACCTGGCGCTGATCGTGACGTTTCTGTTCCTGCACTGCAGAAAGGAGGCCTCTCCCAAACATGTCCAACAACTCTTGGGTGTGCTGCAATGGTTTGATTTGCTGGTTCGCCCGAAGCTATCCGTTTACAGCGACATTTACAGTTTCACGTGCTTGCCGAATGTAAATGCTCTCATGAAGCTCCCAGCTGCTGTCCTCGGGGAGCTGGCTTGCAGCATCGTCCTCGGCATTTTTTGGCGCTGTGATCTCAGGAGACCATTCTTACAGATGCTGGGCGCAACCGATGCCAGTGTTGAGTATGGGTTCGGCGCTTCCATTTTGAAGGCATCAGAACAGTCTGTGCGTCAAGTGGCTCGCTGGGCAGAGAAGCAAGGTGCATACATTCTGATGGACGGTGACTATTCCCCCGTCAGAACAGCGTTGCCGATCAGGTGAAGCACATCGTCTCGAAGTAAGCTTGAACGACTTTTGTGACGTTTTCAGCGTGAAGCGAAAGCATCCTGCTCACATCAACGTGCTTGAAGGAGAAGCTTTCATTCTGTTCTTGCGTTGGTTGTTGAGATCTCGCAGTCGCCACTCTCACCGAGTCGTGATTCTCGTCGATTCAGCCGTCTGGTTGGGAGCAGCAGCGAAAGGAAGATCCTCCTCGCAACTTAACAGATTGCTTCGTAGGATGGCCGCCTTAACCTTGGCTGGTGATCTGCAACTGCATCTGATTCTGGTCCCCTCTCAGGAGAACCCGTCGGATGCCCCATCTCGCGGAAGGAGTCGGAAACGATCTGCTAAAAAGACATGCTGACACCCGGCTTCCATTGGCAGTGCACAGTGAAGCCCAAATGTCGCCTTGACAAGCCCTGTTCCTCGGAGCATGATGTGCAACTTGTCACGTGCGTCATTGCGGGCTGTTTGGTGGGAATTTGGTTATAAGTTTGTACAGTTCTGGAACTGCTGACACTCGACAGGAAGTTTCCGGGCATACTGCGGATCAGGGGTCCTTCCGAAGACCCTGGGTCCGACATGCTGCAGGCAGAAGCATGGTGCTGACTCTTCCTGCACGGGTTGCTGCGAGTCTGCTCCCCTTGCAGTACATCAAAGCTGGCATACTATGCGGTCGTCTGGCTCCTTGTGCGCCCTTGGCAACATTCTTGGCATGACTTTCCGCTCTGCTGGCGCAAATTCGTTTGTGTTTTTTCGGCCGCTGAAGTGGCCAGTGCCGGTAGGTGGGTTCGTTGCAGTGACAGGGGCGCGCTGCTAAGCAGCAGGCCTTGAATGGAAGTCAATGCAGCAATTTCTAACCTACCGGCAGTTCCTTCGCTTCCAACAAAGAGCCTTGCTTTTCTCCTTTCTGCAACACGTCAGAGGTTGAGGCGAGAAGCGCAGCCTCATGAATGAAGGGGTATTCATGCAGCGAGCTGGTCAGTGTAAGTGCCGGGCCGTCTTCAGCACAAACTGTAGCTGATGAGCCACAGCATCAACTGTGAACACGTCCGCCGTTCGGATGCACGGGCTCCAGTCTTGAATGTTTTAGGTCGCCTTCGTGCGGCCCACCCTCCCAAGCCCTTTTTCGGGGTTCGTTGCAGTGACAGGGGCGCGCTGCTAAGCAGCAGGCCTTGAATGGAAGTCAATGCAGCAATTTCTAACCTACCGGCAGTTCCTTCGCTTCCAACAAAGAGCCTTGCTTTTCTCCTTTCTGCAACACGTCAGAGGTTGAGGCGAGAAGCGCAGCCTCATGAATTATTGTTTAGGGTTTTAGGGTTTAGGGCATCACGTCTTATGTTCTGCACCCAGCGCAGGTGGAGAGCCGCTGGGGGAGGAACACGCCTTCCGCTCCTTGCTGCCGCACCTGAAGTGCTCGGAAGCACCCTGGGCCGCGGCCTTATGTCAGTGCGAGACCTCCGTTTTGCCAGTAGTTTGTACACTTCTGCCCTATCGATTTCCATCCGCGCATGCTCTGCAGTGCTCGCATTTGCGGTGCGTGCATTGCCGAGGTGGCTGCAATCGGTTGGGGATGCGCCGTGGGCTACGGCATCTGCGTCCCAGCGTGCATGGTCGGCTTGATGGCCAAGCAACAATGGAGTCTGTCGGCAAGTCGACGCACTGCACACTTGTCATCGGAGCAGGGGGAGATCACAAAACTCCGGATGGTCCCGCTGCAGGCCAGTTCCGAGGACGCTTGCCACCCCCCCCCTTAAGCCTGGATTCCTACTTAGAGGTCCAGGGGACTAGTAAGTAGGTTAGTTATAAGTATCCTAAATGGAGTTGCCCCGATTATAACCCTACATATAGTCGACTTACTAAGCCCCCTGGGCCTTCAGGTAGAGCCCAACCGAAAAACCCAGAACTCTTGACGGTAAACCCTCGGCAGGATTCGAAGGAGATGAGTTCTCGAGTGCAGTTGGCAGGGGCGGTTGCCTACTGTGCCGTTTTCTTCCGGGGCTCCGTGCAGATAAAGTTGGCGGATGGCTGCCTGCAGCTCGACACAGATGGTTCGGTCTGTTTCTAAGGGGTTATATATATATATATACACGCACACACATGTTATATATATATATATATATATATATATATATATATACACACATACACAAACACAAACACATATACTTTACATACACATACATATCACATCATGATATCGGTTGTTTTTATGTGTGCCCAGGGTGTTGCAGCCTGGGTCTGGGCGCAGCGCCGACGAAGTGGAGTTTGATGCCACCTGGCAGCTTTGGGGTCATCCGAGCAGAGTGGTCCAGGGCTGAGGGTTGAGGACCTTGGAAAACTTGAAACTTCAGAGTCGATGCTATTTTTGGGTCTGTTGAGGTCCCAGATTCTATGTTCGTTGAGGAGCAGAGGTGTTGAGGTTTTGGGATTCAGATCTTCGGGTTTCAGGGGTTCATGGGATTTATATGCAGACCTGTGAAATCCAGTCAAGCACCGAGTGCAGGGGTCGTGCGTAGCTTGCAGGCCGACAACATCCTGTCCAGGGCCCTTGACAACAAAGCAGATGCAGACCTACAGCGGTGGCAGGCAATCACCAGGCGCCAGGGCTGGGGATACGCCTGCATGTTTCAATTTTTCTTTGAGGCATGTGATCCACAAACGAATAGATGCGGAGTGCGTGCTTGACGCAATTCACACCCGAAAAAACATCCAGAACCCTACAGGTGTCAGTCCGAGAAAGCTGTGTACTCCCGACAATACCGGTTGTCGTTCAGGTTCACACCTCGCCTCAACTTCTGCAATCTGAAGCCTGAAGCACAGTCGTCATTGGCTGCCTTGTTGCTGTCGACAGCTTGCCTGCGCTTCGCAAGGATGCTGAAGGAGCGCTGCATCATCGAAGAAGCGGCGCCATGCGACAGATGCCCTTCAGAACTTGCCTAAAGTTGGAGCGAGGTTTTGGGGCATGTGGCTTCATGGTTGCACACAGGTTCTTCTGCCTTTTGAAGGCAAACTTGAGGAATCTGTCGCGCTCAATTTCAATATCTCTGGGAGAGCACGACAGGCAAGCTAGGGTGAGGCCTGTCCGCAGTCTCGTGTCGGCACATATGGCTCAGCAGTATGACTCTCCGAAGCCCAAGTACTACTTATATAAGTACTTTACGGCACTGAGAGTATTGTAAGGGACTGCGTTGGCCAATCCGCTATCAGGTGCAGTGCACCTTTTTGAAGCACCGCATTTTGCTGCATCCCACTCGCAACCTCAGACATTGACATCCTTTCGCCGAGGAGTCTTGACTGGTGCAAAAGAGCTCTTCTTCAAATACGCCCCTTGTCTGAGGGACTCCACAGGGTTTAGGGTTTAGTTGCAGGGCTTAGGGCGGCTGAGGTCTTTCTTCATTTCCAGGACCTCGGGCAACCTTCACAGAGGAGTCTGAATCTGAATCATTAGGAACGCACTTCTGTGGTTGTCGTTCTGCGGCTTGCCATACCCTAAACCCTAAACCGGTGGTTGTCGTTCTGCGGCCTGTCTGTGTTCCGGCAGTGGGTCGCATTGTACCCCCAAGTTGTCAACACTAATCACCTTCCCAGTTTGAGCCAGCCTGTCACCTCTCACAGGAGGGCACCCTGAAACCCTAAACCGCACGCTTCGAGGCGAATTGCCAGAGCATTTGGGTCGAGGTTGCACTGAAGCTGGTGGTGGTCGGCATCGTCGCGGTCCCTGTGGCAGTGGCCCTGCCGCAGCTTTGGCTCTTGCATCGGGTATACAATGAAAGTTGCTTAGGGGACGGGGGAATAGGAGATAATGTAATGTACCACAATATGCTATGATCTATTATATTCTGTTATTATATCATGTTTTAAAATACAACGCAAGGATGGAGAGATTGTGGAAGTGGGGTTAATGCTCGAGTCGGCAGGAGGGTCTTTACCGGATGTGGGGCTACCTTCGCGGGGCTCTAGACCTTTGCCTCTTCATACGGTGGACAAGGTTTGTGGGATAATTAGTTAGTGTAGCGGATCCTTGGCTTCATAATTAGGCTGTTGGCGCGCCTTGAAGACATATGACCCTCGCGAACGTGACTGAGGTGGCGACTTCTTTCCAACTCATGTTCACCCTGAGCCTTACCTTGGGGACCAGCATCGTTCTCGGCACCCTCAAGCCCTACAGGCAGCGCCAGGCAGGGTTTGCGGATTCTTCCGAGTTCTTGGATTATATGTCTCGTTTTGTCACGCTTACACCTTTTTCCCTCTTGTTTTGGTTTTCAGACTTGCAAGCAAGCTGATTCGTCAGGAATCCGGGGGTGGGTGTAGCGGGCATGGGCTGTGCTGGGGCTCCGTTGCTTGGAGCGTTGCGGCTTCTACAGCTCTCTGGGCCGGGTCCCATGTTGGAATCAAGTGATCAGTCCCAGCGTGGATTTGGGGTTTAGGGTTTGAGGCCCTTAACCCCAAGCCCTGTAAACTCTAAACTCTAAATCCTGAAAGTTGCCCCACAGGTCAACGACTTGCAGTGCTTTTGCTTCCTGTGCGGCTTGGCAAGGCTCAGTGGGGAGGCTCCAGGGCTTTAAGACCAGGGGCCCAGACCTTCCAAAATCCATTAATTAAGGAATATGCCTTAAATTATAGTAGGATCCCTAATAAGATTTTAGGTATATTCCTTAATTAAGGGATTTTGGAAGGTCTGGGGGCTTCAACCGTAAGCCCCAAGCTCCGAAGGGTAGCCCCTGCACAGTGCCAAGTCGTACCGGTCCGTCAATGGGCAGTTTCGGCAGAACAAATTTCAGGTGCTGCTTTTCATGTTCTGCAAGCTTGCAAGGAAGCAGAAAACAACTGAAGCATGTCGTGAACAGGGTTCGAGGGAAGCGCAGTCCGCAACAGTCCCACATACTTGTGTCACTGTTCCCTGCACGAAGCACTTACAAACTTATCGCCAACACATGAGACTCCCTATTCAGACATCAGCGATCGAAACCCCGCAATTCAAACCTGTGAAGAGGGAAGTGGTTGTTCCATTGCTGCATTTTCCGGCATTGTCATACCATGAACCCGTACTGGTATGTAGTGTTGAGTTGTCGTCAGGTAGCAGAACAGCAAAACAAGCAGCGCGAGCAGCAGCAAGGGGAGAAGCCAATGGTCTTTCATGGTCGTCGTGACGACGTTCTAAGGTTCATCTCATGCACATCACGACCATTCACGGTTCAAGCTATCCCCCAAATATCATGGGTTTCCCAAGAAGTGACCAAGGTTTGTCGGTGGCCGCCGGGGGTTTCGCCTTCGATCTACTTTGGCTGACCCGCGCAGCGCTGGTGGCGCCCGTGGTCACGGCCGCCACTCAGACCCTGCGCCCAGGTCGTTGTCGGGGGGCCTTTGGGGATCTTTGGCGGGTATTCTGGTTTTGGGGAGTGAGGGCCGTGGGGGTCTGAGAGAAGCTCAAACCGGAGGCTCGGCCGGAAACTTGGTTTTGAGGGGTGTTTACATGGAGGACAGAGGGGAAGTTGGAGAGGCGTCAGTGAGATCGCGGGTTCACTCGGAGCTCAATATAGTGATGTAGAAACAGAAGAGCCGCACGGCCCTCAATTCGTGCCATGGCCCAGAGATGTGGACTTGATAGACGCGGAAACACATGCAAAGCTTCGGCTGTAGGGTCTCTAGGTCAGTTTAGGGTTTGGGGTGCCCCATAAATGTACACTGACATGAAAACCATCTCGAACCCAAGCCCTAAACCCTAAAACATAAACCGCCTTAATCAGAAACCCTAAACCCTAAGAAGCCCTAAAGCCTAAGCTGCCTTAGCACACTGACTTGAAAACCATCTCAAGCCTTCAACCCGGAAGCATAAACACTGCTCTAATCATTAACCCTAAACCCTCAAAAGCCCTAAAGCCTAAGCTGCCTTAGCCCTAGGCCCTAAAGGCCCTAAAAACCCTAAGCCCTAAGCCCTGAACCTCTAAGCACCCTAAAGGCCTTAAGCCCTACACCTTAAACCCAAAGCCCCCCTGCTTAAGCCAAAACCCAAAATCCTAAACCCCAAAACCCAAAACCCTAAACCCAAAACCACCCTACACCCTAAGCCCCAAGTGCTTAACCCTGAACCCAAGAGCGCTTCAGATTGCTGCGAGTCCCTGGCCCTGCGCCTCTTCGAGGCACCCGGAGTGGCCGCTGCTCTCTTCTTGTTCGGACTTCGCGGTTTTATGGTGTTATCATGTAATCGTATATTTTGGCATGTTGTAGTTTATTCAGATACTGTAGTATATTCTCGTGTTTTCAGACATATGTTATTCAATTCTGGCAAATTAAAGGGCTTGGGGCTTACGGGCGGGTCGTTCAGGGCTACGGGTTTCGGGTTTAGGGCGGGCTTTTAGGTTGGTGGACGCGCTGCTCCGAAGGCTCGGGGTCTGGCGTTCGACTTGGCAAAGCCACCCCCAGAACCCTGCGCCGATTATCCTTTGAGTTCTTAAACCCAGACCTTCCAAAATCCTTTAATTAAGGAATATACCTTAAATTATAGTACGATCCCTAAAAAGATTTAAGGTATATTCCTTAATTAAGGGATTCTGGAAGATCTGGGAACTATTGAACTCTTAAACCCCTAAAGCCTAAATCTGGCAGGCTGCCAATGTGCAGTGGGTGGACTTGCTGCAGGGAGGCACTGTGCAGCTCAACGTGGAGACGTTGAGTTTCATCTGAGCAAAAGTCCAGCGGAGAGTCGTATTCAAGCTCAACGAGTGTGGTAGGTAGCTCTTGCATGCGTCCTAATTCAATGCTTCTTGTAGAAACTCGCCAGCCGTCTATTCTCATTCCTTCGAAACTGTCACTGTATAGCTCACTGGAACGGTTCACTTTCCTGGCTGTGCGAAGCACCGAGACAAAAGAAAAGACTCGACGTCTAACTCTCCAGCCCAATATAGAGGCCTAAAGAACACTCGATATCATTCGTCCTTATCGCTTTCTCGTCATTCTTGTCAGGTTTCTTTTTGCCTTTCGCAGCGACTTTACCCATCCGCTCGCCGAGTGGCTGATGTCCTCTGTCCACTTGTCGCCTGGGCGCTCCACAATCTCTTTCCGTTTCCACGTCTTGAATTCATCTGCGCTTTCGCTATACGTTCTCGACAAAACTTTGCAGCGCCTGAAGAAAGCTGTTCGCATTCGGGTTCCTTATTCCGAGTATAGTACAATATGACCCAAACCCCCATTCTAATTCTTAAGGCTTAAGGCCCATAAACCGAACCCTGATAGCAACCCCTAGGTAGAACCCTTAAAGGAATCTAAACCCTAAACCCTTGGTATAGTATCCTCCTCGACTCCCTGGCCGCCCCTAAGTCGCCACAGACTCGCAGCCGCAAGCTCTCCGGGATACTGACATGGGGGATTTCCGAACATGGGGGACCCTGATATAGAGTACCCTAACTAGTAGGTAGGATGATCCCAAAGTTAGTGCCGAATCATCCCGTGCTTCCGAGTCCTGGCGCCCGAAAGACGGTCATGACAGGATCACAGGGTTCGGCTTTCGCAGGTCTAGGCTTTGATTCTGCAGACAAGCGTGCTCGCTGCCGCTTTCATGGCTATGTTGTTTGGCCTGTGAGTCACCCTTAACTCCGCGATGTTCTGATGGAGTGCCTCCGGAGCCCGCAGCGTCTGCGTCCAAGCATCTGCAGAAATTGACAGCACAGCTCTTGGGGCCTTTCGAGCACAGAACGTGCGTACATGCTCGCTTTAACTGCGAACTGGTTCCAAGTTGTCTTGATCACTAGCACGTCGAGGCATTCATTGCACCGAAGGTTTTGAGATGTCTCAACGTTTCTTGCGATTCTTACGGTCATGTCTGCTGCATCGGTTAAGCTTTCAGAAGCCCCGCACCACTCTTCATCTTCTCAGTCACTGGGAGCACGGGCCAGAGGCGACAAGCCTGTTCGCTCCTTTCTCAGCAAGGCAAGTCCCTATAAACCCCTGAAAGCACGGAATCGCAAGGGCTTACCGGCATGGTGGAGTCACTTCGTGGGCAAGGCCAGGGAAGGACCCATGGGGATTACGAAGGGAGGTGCCAAGATTAAGTTTGGGTGCCTGCGGCTTGTTGAGGGTTTTAAGCTTGGGGTGTCAGTGGTGCAGGTGCGCGTAAGCTGACGGAAGGGATGGGCCACTGGTAGGCCTTGAGGCTATTGGGTCCCAAGGATCAACCCTTGACTGTTGTGGCACCTTGCGCTGGCAAGAGACTCTATGGGTCCAGAATTTTGGGGTTTGGGGATCGGGGATTAGGGTTTTTAGAAGGCACCGCAGGGGAGAGCAAGAGCAGCGGCACCCAGTTTGAGGCATGCGCGCGTGAGGGACATTTGTGTGTCTTCCAGGACCAGTGACTGGTATATTGGGGTCCCCTTATTTCGGAAATTCCCATATACTGCACCAGCGTCAGCGAGCAATGCCTCCAGTTAAGTCTTTGCGAGCTGCCGACGGCGGGGCGGGGCTTTGGTGGAGAGGCTTTAGCCTTGCACAAGCTTACATGTATTCCCCCCAGGCTTCACCGTTGGCTGTCTTTTTGTCCGCACGAGCTGCTGGCTCGAGACTCGCAGTTTCCAAGACTTTACATCATGCAGACCGCTTGGCCATTTCTGGGCCTGTTCTTTTCCATCACTACTGCTGCTGCAGACTGTGCTGCAGCCCCCTCCTTGCTTCTGGGTATTTAAGTTACCATAATAGGGATCTCTCGTAAATAACACGGTTCCCTTATTATGATAACTTAAATACAGTTACAATCCCTTGACAAGAGCCCAGGCTTGCCGTCAAGGCCGAGACTCATGTGACGCAGGTGTCGATCACGGAGGATTTGCCATTGAACCTCACTGGCTCTCATGGAAACGGCAGCAATGGCACCAATGGAACTAACAGCAGCCTTGAAGAGATCTTGGTTGGCAACTTGGCACATGTCATGAAGGAAGTGAACAGCTTGGGCGACATGGAGAACACCAGCAACCAGAGCGACTGGGCTGTTGTTAAGGAAGTTAGTTTAAGCTACCGTAACATGAAGACCTCGTGGTTTACATGGAACCCTACATTGGTAACTTAAACTAAGTTGCCGATTTCTAAACCTTCATATCCTCAACGGAACCCAAAGTATAAGTAGAAACTTAATATAAGTTCCTTTACGTTTATAGAACCCTTATAGAACCCTTAAAGGAGCCCGAAATTGTGGTAACTTAATGTAAGTTCGTTAAACCTCATAATTTGCACTTTCATAGACCCTTAAAGGAACCCCTTACAGGAACCCCAAAGTTATGGTAACTCAAGCTAGGCTCCTTTCAACGACAGCCCAGGCGACGGGCAGCGGCGCCATGGTTTCGGCGACTTGGGCACGAACCTGGAGTTTCTTATGCTGAAGGTCGCCCAGATGGAGACGGCTGCTCGGCTTTCCAGTAGCGAAGATCGCGAGGTATGTAAGTCTAAGTGTCTTCTTCCTGAATCTGAAGGAGTCGAGTAGGGTTTTGAGGTATATGGTTCGAATGGGCTACGGTTGATGATATAAGCCCTAAACCCTAAAGCCCTATAGATCCCTTAAAGGAACCCTTATAGATCTCTGTAAATGGACCCTATAATCATCAACAGTATTGGGCCGCTGAGGCGCTTTTCTAGTCATTTAGTCCTATCCTGCACGTAGCTGAGGTCGTTGAGCTGCAGCAAGCTCAGCTGCAGAAGCAGCAGGCAGGGATCGCAGCGGTTTTCAAGTCCACAAGCAGCAGTGGGCTGTTATGTGTCATAAACCACTACAATGTTTGTAACAGTTTTGTATACCCTAAACCCATCCTAAACACTTAGAGACCGTAAACCCTTAAAGGCCCTAAACCCTTAAAGGCCCTAAACCCGAAACCCCTACTGTGGTTTCTACAGGCCGAGATCGACGAACTGAGGGCCGAGGTCCGCGGCGCGTCGAACGTGTCGAACTCCACGCCCAGCCTCCGTGAGCACAAGGCGAAGGAGAGAGCCCAAGTGCTGGAGGCCGGGTGTAGGGATCTAGGGTTTTGGAGTTACTAGTAGTGTTTAGAAAAGGGGTTCAGGCATTTAGGTCTGAGGGCTTAGGGCAACTTCCCTAAGCTTGGCTTTGTGTTGTGCTGCTGCAGAGCTTGCTAGGCAAGCCGGGTCTTCAAGAAGGTGATCCAGAAGCATCATCACCAGAGACAGACTCGCGAATACCTCACTCCGCACTCCAAGGCCAGCAAGGTACCGGCGGAAGCATAATTAAGGAAGCCATATTATTTGCTTTAGATCCCTATTGTGGTAGCTTAAAGTAACTTCCTTAACCCTAAACCCTAAACGCTAAAGAACCCAGGAGGGCGGAGGAAAGGCGCTCTTGGAACGGAGTGCTCAACGATCGAAAGTGAAGGAGTCCAAGTCGAAGTCTGAGGCTTTGGATGCCGTTGTCACCTCGAAGCTTGGTTGCTGTAAGTGCTGTTGCGGAACTTAATTTGAGTTACCTCAACGGGTATATATATATATATATATATATATTTATATCGTAAATACTAGGGTTTCTTTATCCAAGTAGCTTTTTCGGTTCCCCAACAGCAACCCAGGAAATTCCTCGAGGACGTCGGAAATGGGATTGTGGACGTGGCCGGTGATGTCGCCGGTGCCGTCACGGATGGCACGGGCTTGGTGGGTGACGCCTTGGGCGATGCCTATGAGGCAGCTGCCCCAAAACCCTAAACCTCCTAGAGTTTAGAGTTATAGGGTTTAGGGTTAACCCTTAACCCGAAAGCCCCGAACCCCTAAACCCTTTTGAGGCAGCCGCGGACCAAGTGTCCTTCGTGGCCAACACGGTCATTGATACCGTCGAGATGGCAGTCACCATCCTGCTGCTGGATATGCGTTAGGGTTCGGGGTTTAGGTTACTTTAACTAGCTAACTAGCTTGCTATAAAATAAGGTAGAAAGCTGTAATAAAGGACCTATAGTAAATCATAAGGTTTCCTTGTCATGGTGACTTGATTTTCTTTACGAGATTTTACTTTAAGTTTCCTTGCACAGTCCTGAACCCCAAACCCTACAATCCTCGTATAGAGCCCTTAAGGGAATCCTGAAGTATGGTACCTTAAACTATGCGTTCCTTTGAAGAAGCGCCTTAAATCCTAAACCCGAAATCCTAAACCCTGAACCCTCACCCTAAATCCTTCAAAAAAGAGCCCTATACCCTAAACCCTAAGCCGTTCCTTTAAAGAAGAGCCCAGGCTCCGAGGCTTCACCGACTTCGGCGCCGGCTGCCCGGACTCCTCCTGGCCTTCCATGGGCGTGGACTCCACGGGCTTCCGGATCAACTGGGGCCGGCAGAAGTGCTACATCAGGCTCTTCTTTGAAGGGCTTGGGGTTGTAGGGTTTTAGAGTTTAAGGGTCTAGGCTGTTTAGGGTTTTAGGCGTAGGACATCAGGCGCAGGGGGGTTCTTTTAAAAGGATACTATAGGGTTTAGGGTTTAAAGGGGTCTATAAGGGCTACTAGAAGGGTTTAGGCCTTAATAATTACCTATGCTATTTTGGGGGTTCCTTATAAGAACTATATATAGTATAATTGGTCAGAAAATCCTATTCTAATTACTAAGGCCCCTATATTACATCAGGCGCAGGGGCCAAATCATCCAAAACTCCTAAACTGTCCGAAACCCTAAACCCTAAGCCCTTAAACCCTGAACCCGAAGCTACATCAGGCGCAGGGGCCGAAGCATCGAACAACGCCTGAACCCCAAAGCCCAAAACCGAAGCCTGTAATCCCCTAAACCTCTGTAATCCCCTAATCCCCGAAACCCTAAAATTGTACACTCTCAGGCTCATGGGCCAGAGCATCACGCTCTTCGATTTCAACTTCGGGAACACCAACGTGAACTGGCCCGAGCCCGTGAAGACCGTCGTCCAGTATGGCCTGGCTCCAATCCGCGCCATCGTGGACATCGGCCGTGACTGGGTTCTTGTTAAGGAGGTTACCATGCTAGGGATCTATAAGGGTTCCTTTAAGGGATCTATATGGGTTCCTTTAAAGGTCTGGGGTTTAAGGATTAAGTTACAATAATCGGGATCTTTAGAAAATAATATGGCTTCCTTATTATGGTAATTCAAGTTGGGAGCCCAGGTGAGGTGGCGGGCTGTGTTACGGCTGGTGGCGTCAGCGACGTTTTCGGCTGCTTCGGGAACAAGCTGCTAGAGGTGGTGCCACCTCTTAGCTTCCTGACCCGTATAGGCGACATGCTCACCGAGTTTGTTGAGGTCTTTGCACGCTTGGCTGGCTCGGTCATCAGTTCTGTCCTATCGGACAGCCAGTCCCTGGTCCAATCAGCCGTCAAGACCTCATTCCCAGAAGTGGGGGCGCCAGCCCGTGTCCATCACAGCACCAAGAACCTGGTGGTGAAAACGCATGTTGAGCGGTGGAAGGGGAGGAAGAGTAAGAGGAGCTCCCGGCTTCAAGAGGCCAGCCAACTGCAATTGAACACCTCTCGCTCTGAAGGTGATGACGATGACAGCGATGGCGCCATCAACTTCGAGATCAGTGACAACGGGGACAACTACGCCACGAAGCTCATCACTCAGTTCGGTGGCAAGGAGGTGGACACAAGCTCCTGCTTGGCCTTTGCACCCAAAACTCGCCGGGGAAGCAACAACAAGGTGATACAGCGAGACTGGCAAGTAGAGCAGGCGGATCAGTTCATCCAGTTGGAGCCATGGGCGGTCCCTTGCGACAACTCTTGGATGACGGACAACCCCGAGAAGTGGGAAGGGTACTCCTTCTACACCTGGGAGTCTGCCATCGAGAAGTGTGTCACTGTTGCTTTGTCATAATTGGGCAACATTTTACATTTTTATGGGTACTTAAACCCAATAAGGAATAAACATGTATATGTTAATCCTATCCCAACCATGGACTAGGTTGGCTATTCCATGAGCACGCAGCCCGTCCTCGCCTTCGTGGGCGGTTTGGAGTTTGACCTTCTGCCGGCTCCTTTGGCAGACCTGGAGACTACGGTCTGTTGGCCCGACAAGCAGCCAAGCGGAGTGGATCTTAGCGTCTTGGTTCCTCTGTAGTACAGTCTATGCCCTTTTTTTTCTGCAGGGTTCCCTCCTTGTTGTTAGGGGGACGATGAGACGCTGGGGAACCTAGGCGTCTTGCGGACCGTCATCAAGTCCTCCGGTGTGCAGCTCTTCAGTCGCACCATGCGCCTCACGAAGCGCTTTGGCACGGGCACGGACTTCACGGACGCCAACACCTACTCGGCCCACGAAACCTGGAGAAATCCTTTGGGGAAGGCCACGGGCACCCACGGCTCCGAGGACGACCGGTCATTGGAGCCCATGGACCGCACTGTGCAAGCCGCACAGCTGGCGCAGGAAGGCACAGAAGAGTCTGCATCTGCGGCAGAGAGAGACTTCAGCAACTTCAGGTGGTCCGAGGACGACCTGCAGGTGGCTTCGATGCTCTATGACAGCTACCTGAGCATGAATGTGTCGGAGCACCTCCACGATGCCAAGGCCAGAGAACATTTGGACCTGATGCAGACGAATGGGGACTTCGAGCTCTTCAGCTTCAAAAATCCCGGGCTGGTCTCCTTCAACATCAAGGGCGTCTTGACAGCCGCTGATGATTTGCAGCTGCTCATGCAAGTCAGCTTCGGCCCTTTCACCTCGCCGCTGAAGCGCGTCACCTTGGTGAACATCGTGGATCAGTTTCTGGGCTCTTGTTAATGAAGGACTCTAGTGCAAGTTGCCAGAATAAGGACATGGAGGCCACATTACTTACTCTCCATCCCCCTTATGGTAGCTCAAATTTTAACTTTTAATAAGAACCCTAAACCCTAAACCCTAAATCCTAAGCCCTAAAAGGTAAACCCTAAGCCCTAAATCCTACACCCTAAACGCTAAGGTTTACTTTGGTGCTGACGGCGTTGCCCTTCGTGTCCGTGAACAGCCGGGTGAAGGCCAGAGACTCCAATATCCCTTAATTAAGGAATATACCTTAAATTATAGTAGGATCCCAAATATGATTTAAGGTATATTCCTTAATTAAGGAATATACCTTAGATTAAAGTAGGATCCCCAATATGATTTAAGGTATATTCCTTAGTTAAGGAATATACCTTAAATTATAGTAGGATCCCCAATATGATTTAAGGTATATTCCTTAATTAAGGGATATACCTTAAATTATAGTAGGATCCCCAATATGATTTAAGGTATATTCCTTAGTTAAGGAATATACCTTAAATTATAGTAGGATCCCCAATATGATTTAAGGTATATTCCTTAGTTAAGGAATATACCTTAAATTATAGTAGGATCCCCAATATGATTTAATGTATATTCCTTAGTCAAGGAATATACCTTAAACTATAGTAGGATCCCCAATATGATTTAAGGTATATTCCTTAGTTAAGGAATATACCTTAAATTATAGTAGGATCCCCAATATGATTTAAGGTATATTCCTTAATCAAGGGATATACCTTAAATTATAGTAGGATCCTCAATATGATTTAAGGTATATTCCTTAATTAAGGAATATACCTTAAATTATAGTAGGATCCCCAATATGATTTAAGGTATATTCCTTAGTTAAGGAATATACCTTAAATTATAGTAGGATCCCCAATGTGATTTATGCGAACGGACTGCGATGCCTTGTCAAGTTCCAAGGTGTCACTATAAGAGCTGTGAGCAAGACCGTGTAAAGTGCAAGGGAAGGGGGCACGCCACGCGTCCCTCGTCTCTAGGAGTAGGCTTGTGGTAGTGCTACGCACACCGCAATGCCTATCCATCCTTTCAGTATGACCGCCCATGCAACGTTTGGCTCAAGAATGAGCACAAGCTCTAGAAAGCATTGCCCATAGCTAAAGTGCTATAATCTTCTGTGATTCTCCGAGTAGACAGAGCTATCCCGTGCACAGACGATCCACCGCCGGCCGTGAGTGTGCAAAACGAGCGAACGTTGGATCTGCCTGCATAGGAGTGCGTGTGTGGAAGTGGAAGTAGCGGTGATCCAGCTTGTAGAAGGCAACCACGCCAACAGTCAATACAGCTCTTTGTGGGGTGAGCGACAGAGAACATTACCAGGATCAAATCCCCACGCAGGTTATCAGCCGTACGCGGCTCTGCCTTTCTGCAGCAAAGACTACTTGATCTACTACGACCACAATGAACTCGGGATCAAGTCAAGATACGACAATGACTTTCGGTGCCGATGTGGCAGCGCCAGCCGTTGGTGAGTCAACAGCTGATGACACAGTGGTGCAATCCGTTGATAGCTCCACGGAAGATGACAAAGGTCAATCTTCTGCGCTTGCCATTGCAAAGGCAGTTCCCAAAGCGAAAGCAAAGAGTCTACCAAGAGCATCCACGCCTTCGCGTCCAACATCCACAGGTTCGAGGACGAGCAAGGCTCCAGAACGACGATCCGAAGCGTCTGGTTTTCAGGCACCTCGGACTCCGTCGAGGGCAAAGGACAAGGGAGTGAAGACTTTGGAAAAGAAGCCGCGACCATCATCTTCAAGAAGCTCTTCAGCACGATCAAGGACTTCGGCCACTCGTGGACGTGACAAGTCCATGACGTGGAATCGAATGGTTACCAATCAACCACGCGAAGCTGACGATCTGGATATGACTCTGGACACAATCCCTGCACGGGGTGACGCTTCGTCAGTGACTACACCAGCCATAGCCGATGGTCCGAATGCCTACCAGGGATTGACAATTCCGCAACAATTTGAAGCATCGAATCTTGCACAGCAGATGTACTATCGAAGTCAGGTGCAGGAGTACGAAGGTGTTGTCCAGACCCTGATGGAGAAGATCAAGGAGATGCAGCAAGAAGATGAAGGATCTGGGATTCGCATCGAAGAATTGGAACGACAACGTGACCATGCATGCTTAGCCATGAGGCACATCAACAATGTCAATCAGGAGATGAAGCGAGACTATGAAACAGCTTTGTTTCGCATGGATGAACAGAACTCTGCTCAACAACGTCAAGCACACGCCGTTGCCGAGGAATTGGCTCAGCAGCTACATGTGTTCCGCACGGAAGCAGCCACTAACTTTGTGCAGTTGGAGGCAAGAGCGCAGGGCGATGGTGAGCTTATGGCACGTGAGTATGAGCATCTGACTCATGAACTTCATGAACAAGCCAGAGAGAACTTGTTCCTCCGGTCGAACACAGCAAGTTCGGAACAAGCCTTACAAGCGATGCAGGAACGATTCCACCTGGTCAGGAATCAGGAGTTGCGGGCCGTAAACGAGATTCAAGGGCTAGCTGGGAACAGCGCAGCCATTGATCAAGAACGACTTCGGCTTCGCGAACGTCTTGGTGAGGAGGAAGAGTACCGCAAAATGGCTGTGAGGAGGATGCAAGATGCAGAGGACCGACTTCATCAGAATGAGGATCATGCAAGGCGCGCATTGCCCACCTTGCACGACGAGCTGAGCGAACTCAGGAAAACGCTCAAAGCACAAGAAGATCTTCAAGCGAGGACACGCAGCGAATTGGAGGCAGCACGGAACTCCAACTACCATGGCGGAGCGACACGGCCTTCGAGCATGCCCATGTCTTCGAGGACTACTGAGTCTGGCTGGGAGCACGTAGGAAAGGAAGTAGTGCCTGCATTTTCCGTAGGAGGTGAGGTGCGATCCCCTGAAATACGGTCCCCAAGTCAAATTAGTCCAGTCGCCAAAGAGAAGTTCGCATTCTCAGAATCGGACAAGGACAAGAACCTTGCGATGGATGGCATCCCATTTACCGGTGGAAACTTCTTCACTGGCAGCATCAAAGGTGAAGTAAATAAATCCTATGCAACGCCAATCGTGGCGGATGCAATGCCCGAGCACCACGTGCCAGGCATTAGCAGTCCAGCACATGCGCGTTCCACGCCCAGTGCAGCCACTCTGTTTGGCATACCAAGCGGATTTCATGGACAAAGTGATGCGGCAGCCGTGCGTGACCGACAGCTACGTGAACTCTTGGAGGATCGCGGGATGTTGGGATCGAAGTCCACAGCATCTGCCAGCTCCTCAAGACCTGTTGGTATCGACGGCATTATCGCATCTATGAGGGGCAACGACCCCAATGGTGCCCCAAAGGCTACCCCTGTCACCTACGATGCTTCCATCCATGAGGCAAGGAGGCGTCAGATCGAGAAAGAGGTCGCGGAACAGTATGAAGGGAAGATTGCTGATCTGCGAAGCGAAGTACTCAAGGCCCAGAAAGCCGAACAACGTCTCAGAGCTGATCGTGATGAGTGGAGATTATTCGCTGAAACGATGCAGGAAGACAATGGAGACGATGACGGTGATGAAGCTGGCGATGAGAACGAAGAGGGAGAGCAAGATGAAGGGGCCGGCACGGGGTATGACCCTCCAGATTCGCTTAATGATGACGATGATGATAAGAAGAAGAACGGTGGAGGCAAACCTGAACCGGATCCTGACCCTCATGCGCGTGATCCTGACGGAGACGCAGATCCTGAGGTCACGGAGGTGAGAATTTCCAGGAGAGAGGCCGATAAAGTGACAGTCCCTCCATGGCCTGTTCTCACTCACCTGAACAACTGGCGGTCCGTATGCACGGCGAATGTCCTAGGAGCATCAGCCGACCCAAATCATGAGGACTGGATGTTATGGCTGGCACCAGCGTTCAATCCATTCCCTGATGTCGAAGCACTGAACGATTCAGGACACAAGAAGTTCAAGAGCGTAGACGTCAAATTGGGGATCGCCATGGTCGCAATGCTACGCGCTGGTGGTGACAAATCTGCTGATCTGTACCTGGAGGTGAACCGGAAGGCCAACGATTACATCAGCAGGCCCGAAGGGAAGATCATCAAAGGACGACAAATCATTGCGATGATGTATGAAAGTTTTCGAACGCATGACCGTCTCGACATGATCATCACTCTCGAGTACTTGGTGAAGCTCCAGTACCAAGGCGACAACAAACTTCATACGTTCAAGCAGACGTGGTTGGAAGTTCTTGGACGGATGAGACCAGAAGACATACCATCCAAAACAGCTCTCCGTGATTGCTTGCACAGCAAGATCAAGGACTCGCCCGCAATGAAGATGGATTTGGGCATGCACTATGACCACTTGCCCTACAATCACGAAGACCGATCGTACGACAATCTGATGAAGATCATCGATCGTACCATCATGCGGAGACGAGAACAATCAAATCTCACTCAGACCCAAATTGGTTTGCGCCAGATGCTTGAGGGCAAGGATTTGCTCGCTGCGCCGGCCAAGGTACCTGAGAAACCAACGCCTAATGCAGCTCCATCCGCAAAGGTCAAAGCTTCGCCTACCAAGCCGGATAAAGCAACACCTGTACTACCTCAGAGCAAAGCGAAGAGTCATGCGAAGACCAAGCCAAAGCCCAAGAAGAAGACGAGGAGTGAGTCAGCGGACAACAGAGGCGACAAGAGCAAGAAGCAAATCCGCTGCAAGTTCCATTTCACAGATGCAGGGTGTCGAAATGGTGACAAGTGCCCATTCAGTCACTCGAAGAAGACTCCAGAGCGACCCTTTACGCCGAGGACGAGAACTCCAAGTCCATCTGGAGGAGGAGGAAATAGGATATGCTACTCTTTCAAGAACACAGGCTCGTGCTCAAGAGAGAATTGTCCTTTCAAGCATGAGGCCGCAGCTACCCCAGCTCCGGAGCCAAAGGCGAAAGTCAAAGCCAAATCCGAAGCGAAGGC